AGCTTAAATACGTGTTCGAGTAATTCAAAAAGAAATCAGTGAGCCAGAAACCTTATTTAATTACCGGGGTCATGATCTCGTACGACAATTACTTGAAAACACGTTATCCACACTTTTACCCTTATTTTGCGAGCCACATTTCGTGCTTCGCGTAATATCTTACGAAACTCTGCACCAACGGTATTATAAAGAAACAGTATGGCCTGTCTGGTTGCAGGATATGCGAAGAATGCTAAGAAAAACTCACGTTTCGAATACTGACTCGGTTTTTTGACAAATTTCATAACGAAAGGGTTAAACAGAAAACATCAAAATACAAATTTATCAAACCTTAATGATTCCTTTGCAATTATTACACAACAAACACTATAGACATCAATCTAATCAACCGCATCCTTATAACGATTTTTGAAAACGAGTTTCCCACGAAAAATGAGGCACATATTTAAGCTAGAAGCTGCGTTTTTCGAGAAGAAACAAATTGTACATACCGACGACTACGAAGAGGAACAAGGTCGTGGCGATCTTCATACTCGTCGATCCAGTTTTGATTATCAGTCAGAAGCTTAGAAAGTCAATCGTCCTTTTGAAACGTTCCCTCGAGAAAATGTTTCCTTTTCTTTGACGATTTTATCAGAAATGAAAAGGGACACCTGTCGATCAGATGTTGGAAAACCGCTCGAGAAGACCACCACGTAGGCGAAAACGTCCTTTACTGGGCGAACGTGATAGAGTGATAAAAAGGTACGACAGGTTACTCGTTCCCGCGAACACTAATACTGCATGGATATGTTCCTCGAAGGCGAACACGCGGGGCACTTTCAGACCCCATCTGGTTTCCAGGGACGGCTAAAGCTTGGCTCCACTTTCAAGACCTCCCCTCTCTTTCGTTCTTCGCACGACACACCACTTTTTTCATCAATTTACATGAATATTATAAATGAATGTTGCAATGCCTTCTCGTGACGGGTATTTTCATTTTTTATCATCGCAGAAACTTGTTCTACAAGGTTTGTTAGAAATTTGTCTAGAAATGCAAAATGAAACACTTTGTTTTGAATAACAAAACTGAAAGAATTGAAACTAATAATATATAGAATTAATAATTAGAAATGAAAAATGATAATATACTGACAGCAATTTTTAGATATTTAATATTGACCTGTGATTTTAATGTAAATTAATTGATCAAGTTCAAATGATCATGGAATTGTCAATTTCTTTTTAAGATAAAAATTTATAAAAATGCTAAGAAATGAACGTGAGACGGTCCTGTCAAGCCCCACCAAGCTATCGGCAACAACGGCCTGTTCGCGGCACAACTTCGATACCTGCACGTCGAAGTGGCTACAGGTAAAATCCTGTCGAGGTGTCGGTGACCCACTCGGACGAAACGATAACGGGATCGTCGTGCGTTCATTCAGAGTCCAGCGAATCGATCGACTGGGTTTTTCAAGTAGGTCTCGTTAAAAGATTCGATAAACGACACTGTCCATTAGTTACGAGATTCTTCTATGATTTGTTTCCTTGAAAGTGATCGTAACAACACCAAGAATCAGAATGTTAACGCGTTGTTATTACGAGCAAAGGGATTTTAATCGAAACGGTAAGAAGATTATTTTTATTAACAATTTGAATTGTTTAGAATTCGGATTCAATTGAAATTTTTATTTTGATTGTTTCATAAATAAACCTGTTCGTCATCATCAGTTCATTAACACTTGTATGCATTTTTAATTGCTACCGCTATCCGAGTTGCATAGTGCAATTCGAGTGATGTAACAGTGCATTCCGCTGCACCGATTTTGCAGAGAAATCGTGCCTTTTACCTGGCTAAGTTGCGTTAAGAAGCTCGATCATACTGTTCTTGGTCCCGTCAAATTGAAGACGTTGTTTAAATAATATTTTGTACAAATAAAAATGTTTAAATAAACAGAGAAAAGTTTATAGTTAAATCTAGCCACTTTCGTTTAAACGGATGGTTAGTTTGATGCTAGTGTGTACTTACATCCTATGATGCACTTGACCATGCCAACATCGGAAGTAGGTCAAGGTTTGATAGCTGCGTTCCTGTGCAAGGTGGATCAAATCCTGCAACAGGTACACAAGAAGGTAGTAAATAAAAGTCTAATCATATTGTGACTATGATCTTTTCTTCAGCTGGTGTTGTTTTAATGTTGTTCTTGGTGCTGCTTCTTTTGGTAAAAATACAGATGGACTTTAAAGGGTATCTTATTTTCTGTTACTGGAAAGTAATTAGTTTATTAAACTTAAAATATTGTGCAGGTCTTATTTTTATGCTATTTTAATTTCATATTTCTGCGTGATTTGAAAATGATATCGCTAGCTCCACCTGATAGTGAGTAATAAAATTAAATAAAGTGAATGAAAGTCTGGGCGAAATATATGTATGTTAGTACAGGCATCGAGAACGAGATCCGTGTTCGACCGTGGCTCTAAACAAACTGCTCGGCACAACCTTGATCACGCGCGGTTCGTAGCCAACACTCCCGCGGCTGAGCCAGCGCGCTTGCGCGCTTTAATTAGTCGGTGTTTTTCATTAATAATTCTAAAACCAAGCCATAACGAGCATTTTAGTAAAGGAAAAAATTGTTCACAATTACCCCAGCTACTATCCTGTATATGATAAACGTTTTTAAGTTTAATTCCCGCCATTAAAACTGCTATAATAGAATACCAATCGCAGCTGATACAGCAGGATGTGACCCGAAAATGGTAAAGGTTTTTCAGAGTTCCTCAAGCAATTTTAACGAAATTATTTTAATGATATTAGAAATAAAAAAGTTTCTATCCCTGTCAATGAAATACTCAAAGTTTTTAGTTTACGTAAAAACTGTTATTTGAATATTGTATTTCATTATTTCCTGCATGTACTGTTAGATGACGCTAGCAATACCATTTTCAAAATTATGAATGTAATAAAAGAAGTACTTTAATTATAAAAAAAACTGTGATTTATAGTAACATAATACACAAATAAATTAAATCCTCAAAAATTAATACGACAGAAGTATGAATTTTTTTTTACCATAACAGTTCTACCCCCTACATCGTCGTGACATAAAGATGCACCGTGTGAGTGCATCTGTGCTGCACCTGAAAGAAGTAAAATATGATTATTATTTCTTCATAGTTGCACCCTTTTCCATGTACTGTAATTTTATTATATTCATAAGAAAATGAATAAAAATGATTGTACCATATTTATAAATAAATATTATCATAATTAAAATTGACTTAAGTTCTTTTTCCTTGACACTTTATCTCAACAATTTGTACACTATATCCTTCCGGCAAAGAAAACTAATTACATATCATGTGATAATTTTTTCACAACAAACGGATATAATTTTATCGTGTTAGATAATCGTTTATCCGAAACCCTTACGTGTCAGAAAATATTTTTAAAGTTTTATCATAGTATAAGAATCTATTATCTATGTTTGCAAGTTTAAAGTTCACTTTCTTTGTATCATTTTAACGCTAGAATCATTCACGTATCTATAAAAAACATTGATTATTTTCAATACCGGTAAGATTTCGTACATAATTATTTAATTCCGATAACGTCTCGCATTAGTAAATTTTAACACCGTACATCTTAATAATGGGACATGATTAAGTATTTATAATTATCATATTTCCATCAGTTTAACATCGATTGTATCTGAGAGAAGAATTTCGAGAGTCATCGGAACGTATTCGCGACACGTGCCAGAAAAGCAGCATGATCGTTATGCAAGAAAGGCAGCAATCTTTATTTAAATTAATTTCCACGTTAGTTTCGATATTACCCATTGTATGTTTATGGATCTCCATCTAAAGATAAGCCTTCATTATATGCTCCTGCATTCTCTCGTCGCTTGAATGCGGATGATGAACGTTTTGCATTCGCAAAGATGATCTTCCGTGATCGATGCGCTTTAAAAATAGCCCCGTACCATTCCAACATTTCAATTTCACCGTTTCATCGATGCCTATTTCAATACCGCCGAACACTTTTGTCCAAGCCACAAAAAGTGCTCGTCGCGTCGCAGCGGGAAAGCAGACAAACGCAATTATCTCATCAATTGACTTTATCAATTCCAGTGAACCGCATCTGAAAAAAAAAGGGATGGAAATGTTAGTCGTTATGGAGGGTAAGTTACAATTGCTCCCTTAAATTGTTTCCTTTGTAACTCCTTTCGGTCTGTTTCAACCCCAGAGCGTCAGAACTTGCGTAATTTCGATTAGACACACGGTAACTTCATTCTGAGTTTCATTTCTCTCACGAACATCTGTTTTCTTGGATGGTTATTTGCACTACCAGCTGCCAAATTGTGTCCTCAAGATAAATAAAGTCGAAACACGAACATGGATGCTACAATCAGTCTACAACGCGATTTGTATTCTGAGTAAATTAGATGGACATTGCAGGTCCAACAAAAATAGAAGTGCTTGCATCAACGGATCAAGATAAGCAAAATCATCATAATTGACGTAGTAGACCTGACCTTTTGTTGTGACGTACATAAGTATTAATTTTATCCCCATAATCCAAAAGAGGGTTAATTTGCACCGTGCCAAAAATTGATAACTTTCTCAAACTTTATAAGTGTCCTAATGCAAATGAACAGTAGTGTAAATAATTTACAATCTGACCCAAAATCGATTCGCAACTCTTCAGAGGCGCCTGTTTAATGATTTTGCATGGTCAATTTAATCATTGTAATTGCCTTGCATAACATTTGCATCAGCTTCGCGTGCTCGCGATTCGTTGGCGGTCTCCGATAACGCGAGAAACAAGCTTCCCTCATTAATGATTGCAACACTACCTCCTCTGTCCAACGTTTAATTAACCCTAACTACACGGAGAAATGGAACTGTGCTCCGTCTAAAATGATTCCAGAATGAAAAATTGAAAATGCTTTTCACAGAAAAGAAAAGAAAACTCGCACGAATGTGGCTGAATATTCTGAAATGGAAACTGAATCTGATAGAAAAAATTCGATGTCTTTCATAGATATGTAGTATGATATTGTTTACCCTAGTTTAAGACAGCAGTAGTAAATTGGATAAAAAAGACATCAATTATTGGTCGTCTCGCAGCCACATAATAGTTCGTTCACCTCGAGATAATTCAATGAACTCGTGGTGACCTCCATGCAGCGACACAAATGCATACGACCTGCTTTCTATTGATATTTTTCTTCTCTTTAGCATTTTCTTCCGGCGTAAGCTGACGAAGCGACACGTCGACGGTACACGTGGAAAATCAGGTACGGACGCTGCAAGAAGCGCTAATTAGTGGAAAAGTCGACCCTCTGTAGCGTGTTTCATGTAGTGCGTGCGAAAAATAAATTCTTATTTTCATATACCTTGAATTGGATGAGCTGAACAATCGAGAAGAGCAAAGATACACGTAAAGAATCTGAACACAAAAAGTGTGGAAGATGGATTGTTTATCGTGTCGACGCTTTTCTTGGATTTCTTTCAAATCTTGACTAATCCGTGCGAAGTTCATCGCCATTCTAACGTAGAATCCCTGCCTTCTGTGTCCTGCATCCTTGAGAAGATTGTGTACTTAACACACGTGGCCAGCGTTTACCGTGTCGTGCTTGAAATTATTTATCAATGCGAATGGCAAACGCCGCCTGTATACGAAAACTATATGTACGATGCATTATTTATCGGCTACATATCTGCATGCCGACGAAATTTCAACGCGTCTAACGCGTCGACATTCGAGTTCACACGTTTGCCAATTATTCGAAATCTTGTAACAAGAATGTCCCAATAATCCTCTTTTGGATTTTCTATGTTAATAAAATAACTGGAAAAAGGAAAAGAGAAAATAAAGCCAAACTTTGTACAATTTAATTTTAAATAATAAACAAAATTTTGTAATGAAATTCCTTGATTTGTTTTCTTACCTTACATTGAATCTGGTCGTCTTGAAGTCCCTCGAAAAGGAACTTATGATACTTAAAATCCCCGTATCAGTTGACAAAGGTGTTCTTAAAGCATGGCGCCAAAGAGACGCTGCCTTCAAACTCCGACGCCTGCGCACAACCCTAAGATCCATGGTTTGTAAACAAAAGTGGAGGCGCCGCGTGGTTTGGATCAGTGTGGCGGCGACTCTCGCGGTCGAAGGAGTCAGTGAAGGTGTTTTCTCTTCGCTCTCGTATCTTCAAACCTTCTTCATGATCGTAGATTCACATCGTTAATTCTCCGACGATATTTTCCAACGAGAAGAACGTGTTGAGCTATCGGGAAGAACGACGATCTCCATCGGATCGAGTTGCTCGAGGTTCGAAAGAAATTGAGAAACACTCAATCAATTTCGTCGACAGTCGATCAAGTCGATAAAATAATTTATTAAAGACGCGTTTTTTTTCTTACCATTAAAAATATCTTAATTCCTGACTTCGAAGAAGGTCTATGAAGTGCAGTTTCTTCGTTTCGTTCAAATATCCCCAATTGTACACCCAGTTGAAAAGATCGGTCGAGCAGTAAACTCGTCTCCGTGAAGCAACAAGTTTCCCAGGGAAAGTTCGTCTTCAGCAAAAATCAATTTCAACTAGACGAGTGCATTCGTTGCACCAACTGTAACCTACTGCACGCGCAAGCTGGATTGAATAAGGGCCGTAGGGACTGCAGGTAGTCATACAAAAGGGTCCAGCTACAACGTTGTCAAGTCTCACGAGAAACTCTACGAGTGTAGGCCCTAAAAGCAACAGCGCTCGTTAACACGTAAGGGGGCGATGCGATAATAGGGCACCGAAAGTGTATATACGATAGCCTGCAACGACACAAGCTGGAAACGCTTCCAGACAATGATGATGCACTAACAGGAAACTTCTGACTTGTTTTCAATAGCCGTTATTCGCATAGAAGAAAAGCAAGATAAAGGGTTTAAGAGAAACTACGATTGCTCAAGAACAATGATACCGAGATTGTGAATACGACTGAATAATCCGTAATAAATAATGAGGTCTCTGAATCGTTGCATGATTGATCGAGTTACGGAAACTTCCGTTTGAAATAAATCGCGAAACGCGTTCGTATTTTTGCGGGACATTCGATTCTGATCGAACAGCGTATCGTTTTAGAGATTTTTCTTCTTTGACGTTGTTACGAAACCCGTAGAAAATGTCGCTCACCTCGACAGAAGATTGGAATGAAACCTTGTCGACGATGGTATTAAACTCGACCATGATGGTACCTAATGTTACCGTAAATTCAACGAAGAGACACGTGACTTTCGCTACTCAGGTGGTGCTCACCCTTGTATACATGACCGGTGTGATCGGCAATATATCCGCTCTAGTCATTTTGTTTCACCGTGATAAGGTAATTGCACTTGTATTGGATGATATAGTAATTAGATAATTATTGATATTACCGTGATCGATTAAGTTGATTTATTCTTGCCACGAGACGCATCGAATATCGAGGATCTGTCAAATTTTTTATATGCAAATATATGTAAATATATTTTTCAACTGGAAAGTTACGAAATAACTGTTATTGAAAAATCTTTGTTATCAAGAGCGTTTCGAAATACTATTTCACGTGTTTATAGTAATCATATCAGATACTAGAATTTATCCTTCGAGATTAATATTTGATCACGACAGCAAAATAGTGAAAAAACGACAGATAAAGCATTAAATTTGATACGACACACCAAGTATCCATAGCAAAAATAAAGAAGTTCCCTGAATGATCAGAAAATAATTGATGTATTTCGTTGTTTCAGAGGAGAAATCGGAAACACTTGCTGATGCTTCGTTGCCTGGCGATCAACGATTTGGTTGCTTTGTTAGGGATGTTGGTTCAGATGTATATCACGATTTATGTTGGCAGCGTGATGTCTACGAGAGGATTTTGCTCCCTTCGCGTGGTGTGGAGGCTATTTGGCTTATTCAGTGGTTGTGTCGCCATTGTGATGGCTGCGGAAAGGTGGCTAGCCTTGACCAGACCCTTCGTTTATCAGAAAGTAAGTCAAGATCCATGATAAACCTTCTTAAAGGTCCAAACAACGGTGTCTTTCGTATTGACTAGAGCTTTATCACAGAATCCTTCAAGAAACTCAAGTCCAACATTCTTATCCTTAGAAGCATGGAACCTGAGATTAAGTTTCTATCACGCAAATCTGCTGGAAGCATGACTAATTAATAACTTGTTAAAACATTCCGTGAATTTAATTAAAATTTTGTTAAGTCATTTAATTGAGCATAATTATGCAAAATGGTTCAGGTAGACAGAGTTTCTACTGATGTTATAATGAGTTGCAGCGGAGATAAGATGTCCGATGATTAACATCCGTATACAAATTTGTAGGATGATAAATTTTCGAGAACATCAATTAGATTCAATGTTCTATAAGCGTTATAAAAGCTACCAGGGCCCTTTGTTCGTAAGGTTGGTCCGGAGCTTTGTGGGCCGAAAAGATAAATAGTAGGAAAAGAAGATATTAACCCAATGGAATGATCTCCATAGGTTTTTATCTGTACGTGATAAGGGTCACGTTACATGGGCTGTACACTGCGTGCAGACCTGACCCATTTTTTTAACTGGAAGCAGTGTGGAACATCGCTCGAAAATGACTATTTAACGTTCTATTGATACTATAGTACGTTGCTCTTTCGACATCTTAGGGAAGTGTTTACGTTTGTTTGTTTTAGACCCTGGGTCATCGAACCCATCGCTACCACGAAAACATGGGCTTTTAAAAAAAAAAAATAGATTCTAGTATAATTAATCCATCCTATTATTAAGTGTTAAATAACAAAATGCAATCCAGATAATGTGCAACATTATTGCAGCTCCTTGATGAAAGAAGTAAAACTGCAAAATCATTTAAAGTATCGCCTTTCTTGGATATAATGACATGATTAGCTCTTTTTATCGGAAATTATCGAGCATTCGGATGGCGCGTGTTTCGCCAACGGAATCATTGATTGAAAAGACCTTCGCATTGACATTCTTGCGAATCTCGTGATTGCAGTATCGGACGAACGGCACGCGAATATTAATTTCATCGTTCAGACAAAAACAATGATTCGTTTATACCAATTTGCCGCCTTTTAAGACGCGGCGGAAACAATTATTTAAGCCGGCATCAAAACATGCATCGCCTCAATATGATTCAACAACCCGCTTTCGATTCGCTATCTTTTCCGTAAAGCTGCGCTTGGTAAATAATTAAAAATTTATCCTTTTCCAACAATCTCTCAATTTTTAATCGTTAATGATTCACCTCCTTCATCTGTGTTGCCTCCAAAATGACAAACGAACAGAATCGTCTGAAGTGTTATATTTAGCACATTGTTATGGTATTTCGTCAAGCAGGACCATTCTATCGCGACAAAATTTGTAAACATATTCAACTTATCTGCAATTTACGTGCAACTTATCTTTCAAAGCATTGTCATGAATTTGGCAATCTTCCATAGATAGAGATCCACGTTTTCTGCGTGATTCAGAGGATCATGATTACGAAGGGTCATGGGTCATGGAAACAAGCGCGTGTACCTCGAAATTCTCGCGATAGTGATAACACGCGATAGCTCCAAAAAATCTCACACTATTTCCAAGAAAAAGAAGCTACGTGATCAACGGCATCGCGCCTAATTATCCAACACGATTATAGAACTGCTTTCGATTATATCAAGAACGATATATTTGATCATCCCATGAGTTCGTGCCACGTTTCGTTTACATCCTTCATCATACATTTCCCAAACAGCGATTAGACTTGCACAAGATTTATTTTATTATATTTATGGGACGACCTAGTAGGAGTAGCATACCCGTGTTTAATAGGTGTTGAATACAATTGTACCCATTGTGTCGCGAGGAAAAGTGCGTGACCCATATTGTGACCCAAATATGGCTACGCATCGAACCTACACTCCTTTAAATCATCGGTCATTCGAATAGCTTGATTGAATAATAATTTGCATAACAGTTATATGTAAAATTTAAAAATAGATTCTGTATATAAATGTAGATTCTCAGAGTAGTAACCCTTGAAACACTGTTGAATTAAAGAAACACTGAAAAATTTAGAAAATGAAAATAACATGAAAATAGTCTGTCGTCCGATTAAGAATACTTTGGTATAATGTTATGTAGTTTTACCAACTTCTGAAATAAAAGAAGATAAATAGCAGTAAGCATCTATGATTCTCAATGCCAAATTTCAAAGTACTAAACGAATGATCCAAGTTTTAAGAGGTAGCGATTCAAGGCCAGTGAAATTAATGTAAATCACACTGGGCCAGATGCTTCTCACCAGTTTCTGCACCGGTGCTCTTACAATGAAGGTCCAACTTTTACTTATGATACGTGTGTCTACTCACGTACAATGTTTCCGTCAAATTCTTAATTATAGGGCTTAATATGACAAGGGTCGACATGGTTAAATTACATGTCATTAAAATACAATTTATCATTATCCAAATTTCAACAAACGTGATATAATTTGATCAAATTTCAAATTCAAAAACATAATTTTATCTTAAAATTCGCAGTGATCACATATCATAAAATAATACATGATTTGTTTTCATCTTTTTTTTTCTTCGTATTGGATAATATCAGCAGATGAAAAATGACCACACGCGATTCAATGACAGAGTTCAATTTAATTCGCGTATTTCCTGGTAATGATCGAAGCGAGCGCAAAAATAGAGCGCAATCAGTCAATCGATTCACAGCAAATTGGAGAGCAGTAGGGCAGCGAAAATCCAAAGCTTCTCGTTAGCAACTCCCTAGGGAATCTACGTACACCATAAATTTCTGACACGACGGGATTTACGTGCGTTCGACCAAGGCTGACCAGCTCAAAGACGAAACGTAGAGCCGGGGAAAAGATCACAAAGCCGACAAATGCGGATTAGTAGGTGTGAATGCGAGTACTCGCGCTTCTAACGATCCAATCGCGACGACACTTTCCCGATGCTTTCGATCGAAAAACGGGTGAATCGCGGCCAAAGTAAATTGGATCAACGACTCAGGGAACGTGTAAAATTATCTCTGCAAGGTTTTACGCAAAGCGTATCCTCGTGGAGGAAGTGAGGATGAGTAGCTACCACCTTATTCGCGACGGAAGCGCAAAAACGACGCGCTTGAGTGATTCATGAACTGAGAATGTACTTTCGCGAATAAACGGACTCCATGCTTCCTTTTTGGCCTCCTAATATCGAAACAGTATCATAGAGAAACCATTTCTAACGTTGCGTAAGAGGAACCTCTTAAAATTCTTAGACCGCCTCGCGAATTGATTTTCCCAAACGAAATTAAGGGTTCCTTGAAAGCTTAAAGAGATTCTATGGATAGACCTGAAGCGTTCCATGCACTGAAATTGAAGTTTGAAACTTAACTATGAAAGGTCTTCATAGGTAGATCACATTACCGTCATCTTTAAAGTGAAAACGATTGATATTGAACTAATTCCATTGCTGAATTGTATCTGGCACAAGATCCATTGACGTCATTGTCGTAACTTTACATCACATTGTCTTCGATAATCGCAATCGATCGCGAATATTATTTCCTAATAACAGCTTCTTCGTGAAGAGAGTTTAATTAGCTACTTTAATGGCTGATATTACTCGATCGATGAAACTAAGACAAAAGCGTCCCTGAAATAATAAAGTGTGACATTAATAAAAAGTTAATTGACAATAAAAGAGAAAAGTTGAGGTAACTTACTTAAAGCGTTATCGCAGGAAATAATTTGTCATAATTTTATCATTCATCAGGTTCTTTATTCCTGGAGTATTTTATCGCAAAAAAATTTATTATACTATCTTTGGGACTTCATGGTTGATGCATTTGAAGTCAAGATGTTCTGACTTCGTTTCCGTTAAAACAACGTTTTCTTTGATGAAAAGAGCAACAGCGGACAACGACTCGCCGTCTCTCAGATTCAAGGTTCTTGAATTTCTTTAGAGCATTCAGCAGCAGTGCTTTTGAATGGTCTGACGTGATGTGTCAGCTTGAATTGACAGTTCAAGTTCACGGGTTACGAGCTCCTCCTACTCTTTGATCCATTTAACAAATATTAAAGATGCATCGTCACTAACACGTTAAATGACGTAGGGAAATAGTAAAGCAATTTCGACACAAATTATTAATTATTTTTTCCCAATTATTGGATTATATTAAATTCAGAGTGTCAATCACTGATGAGCCCCCAAGGCATTCAACATGATTGTTCAAAAAATCACGAAATACTTAAGGGAACAGATCTCCTTTAAAGGTAGAGTACAATGTTCGAGAAATTAGGGTTCTTTTTTATTACACCCTCTTTAATTTTCTCCACTTTCTCTGCGTACGTGAGTCTTCCACTGTTTCTTATAAAGGAACCTTCGCTCATTTTCCCCTTGAAAGCACTTAGTCGCCTCCGCAACGGACGACGAAGCCCCAATGGCAATGGTTTCATTTCTTTTTTTTCGTTTTATAAGGATCACGATTTCGTGACACTTGAGCGATACAAGTTTTGTACAAAATATCCCTGCCTACCTTTATTCGTCTTCAATAGAAAAAAGTATCAAATTTTTTTGGTAAAACTGATTACAGTGACTGCTAAAAGATCGTCGAAGTGGTGTTTTATTATTTATTAAATTTGAAATTTGTAGTTACGGATATCCAAGTAATTCAAAGTAATGGGAAAACCTTGATATCCCAATAAAATTCGACTGGATTGTAAATAAAAACTCCCTCGAGTACACGAGTTGAATATTTCAAGTTGCCACGTGCCAGAACGTTTTATTGATTAATACAGCACTTGAAAACTTCACTAATAAATCATTCTCTGCTACTATGTTCAATTAAATATTTTTTTGAAACCTTCAAATTTAAATAAAATATTTTAATTCCACTTGAGACTTGGACGATAAATTCTACGAATGATTCATCCCTTATTTAATAAACAGAATAATAATTAATGTAGGATCAGATACAAAATACAATGTTTACAGAAATTCCATTCAGTGAATGACTAATGGTGTTGTTTCGATTTCAAAAGTCTAGACGAAAATTGCCTATCCGATGACGAAACGAAGCGAATCCCTTTTCCGCATTTTTTTCACCGTGTCCCTAAGATATCTAAAAAAAGATCGAAGGTATCGTAGATAATATTTCAGGGTCGAGCAACCCTAAAGTCGATCTGACGTAGATCCGAGTTCACCTATTTTAGCTTGCATACGCCAGAGTCGCGAGGGAAAACATGCTAAGCTTTCGTTGGAAAAGTGCGTGAGACAAAGTTTACGAAATAACCAACGAGTCTTTTGCTTCAACACCCGACTCCTCCTCGGCAATCATTGGCCGTGTAAAAGTCATTGGAGGTCCATTAGAACCGAATCAATATTCGTCGACTGTTTTTCGTCACGCGTTGCCACCAAAGTTCGTTGACTTTGTGTCGTGGAACATAGATTGATACGATTTCGTGTAACGAAGTATGGCACGTGGCAAAAGTAATGCATTATTTAAGTTTCATTGCATACAAGATAATACAATGATAGGAATTTGATTTTAAATAGATATTGAAGATATTTTATGTTATTTTCATCAAGGTTGATTAGAAGATGGAAATAAGTGGAAAGTTGTAGGTATATTTTCTGGAAGAAATGGGAGCTTTTTGTTCATTAATTTTTTTCCAATTTCTGATTCGTGTACCGCCTAATCTGTGACACCCATGTGTTCTCCAGCAGGTGACGTATCCGGTAATAGTACGTTGCATGCTGGTGCTTTGGCTGGTAGCTTTGGCACTGACAAGCTTTCCAGTTTTGGGTTTTGGTGTATATTACAAAGGTGAAAAATGCGTACGATACAGAGAGGCCACCGAACCAGCCGACATAGCTTACGCCTACGTTTGGTTCGTTTTCGGTGAGTATATATATATGTATATGTATAATAACATTATTGCGATCGATACATTTCTCTGATAATATTTTGCCATCGTTCCGTTATCCAAACCTCATTTGATCGAACGCTTGATTATCTTAAGAGCATTAGCTGGTATAAAAAAAAAAGCTAACAAAACGAATAGAACAGTGGAATTGTTAACCCATTCAGAATTTGTAGATGACTCATTTTTTTTTTTCTTATATTTTGTTTCGTTGTAAAAATGTAATTTTTCTGAAATAATCAAATATCTTCTTGGATCGCAGGTACCATTCTCTGTCTGTCGATAGTCTGGTGCAATTTGGCCGTTTCCAGAGCACTTAGCAGACTGAGTCGCAAAGCTGGTGCTTTACGACGCGTAACGAGATCCTCCTCAAGAGCGAAACCACTTCTGACGGTGGCAGGACCACCGACGGAAGTCGTCACCACCGCTGAAGAAAGAGCGTTCGCGAGATTGATGGCCGTCCTATCAATATCGTTCGTCATTTGTTGGATGCCACAAATGGTACGTAATCGTCGATACAAGTCATTGATTGGGTTAATATCATCGTACGCTGTTGCCAATTAAACGATGCCTATGAATTTTGGCAAGCTGATTAAAATTCATCGAACGTGGCCACTTCCGCTATTAAACCCTTTAGAAACTCCGTTACGTACTATCTAATGGACATTAGAAAAATAACCTCGGAAGCAATCATTATTTTTTACTTTCGTTGAAACTTTTATATTTTATTCTTGAGGAGTAAATTTAATAAAATATCTCGATTTTCAATATGTAGATATTTCGTCTGTTATTTTGCTTGTTGTTGACGATAAATTTTGGCAACGGATCGCAGAAACGAAAGAGAAGTGCCGAGGTAAAGGAGCTTCCGGTTACTCTCTTTTATGGGACCCAATGGTACTTACGTGACGCGTTTACCGAAGGCTCATTCAACGATAATATTTGATTCAACGATGCTGAAACATCGATAAAATTTGCGCTCGTGATGAACATTTCAATTTTGTTATCGACGTTTTTCATTCCGAACCACGCGTCTTCCTTAAGGTATCGATTTAACGAATTTGCGATCATATATCGAACAATGTTCCTTCTTGAAAAACAAAAATTATAATTGCATTGCTATATCATTGATCCTGCTCCTTCATACATTCATTAATATCATATCAGAAAGATCCTTAACAGAAAATTTCACGTCAAATCGAGGGAATCATCGTCATCGTTCGAAGCTTTCGCATTCCTGAATTTTTAATGCACCTTTAGCAGCATCCTGTCACCGAGAATAGAATTGCATCGAACAATGCACTCGGTGGTGTACGGTGGTGCATACTCGAGCATTCCGCATTTCCATCTTCCTTATCGGTTCGGTATCTTATTCCTCGCGAGTTTCTCTCGAGTCGATGCAAAGCGTTTGCAAATCGCGAACTGCCCTCCGAGTGACACGAAAATGTTTCCTATCGTTTCCTGTTTGCACTCGCGAACGCGTATACGATCGAACTAATCTACTAGTTGCAAAGTTGCAAACGTGACGCACATCCGGCGAAGGTTAAAACCAAACGATTTAGTTTAGAATATCTTCACGTACGATCAAGTAGCGATCGATACTACTAACACCGATGTTATCCGCTAACGATTCGTAGGTGGAAGAGTTTAAAGAAACCATGAGCAAATTTTCCACAATCTCTGATCAACGACCAGCGTGTATTTCTGTCGTTGTCCCTTTGGTAAACAGGCGGGTTCCTATTGATTCTGACGATACAATTATTTTTAGCAAACACACCCTCAAATATAATGGACTGTTTTGTAAGCAAGCTGTGGAACTGGGCGATATCGATTGCCAAGTTTAATGTTTTGTGAAATATTCATGCCGTTTTTACGTAACCACTTTGCGTTCACCCTTCTCGTGAACAGTTATCAATGAGATCAATCTTGTATTCAATTGTTCCTTTTTTTATATGCTATTTCCTTTTGTGTAGTAGTTCTTTTACATCATCTGCTCACCCTTTTCTTTAATCAACCCCTTTACCCTCTGTGTTCTGGTTCAAGGAACTGAAAGGGTTGATCTATTATTTTAACAGATTTCCATTCCACTGGCTCAGTTCTCGATGCAGTTACCTCAGAAGGCGATGTTGGCGCGAAAATTAATTCGTATGTTCCACGTGGCAGCCGACATCCTTCTTTGCATTCATTTCACCCTGGACCCGTACATCTACGTATTACTAAGAATGTCACGACCAAGATTTCGGATTCTGAAACCTTTCTGCAAGATCTGCTGGCCAGCCAGAAGCCGATCGAATTCGTTCAACGGTGAGTTTAAAATACATTATATTTATTAGTTGTTCGGTCACGCAAATGAAATCAATAGTATCAGAAATCTCAAAATTGAATTCACAGGAATGTTTCAAATTATCGAGCATCATAATTTATACGAATCTTGTTTTAATTTCAAGTTAAACTGGTTGCAATTGCGTGACTCTATCACATACTGCAATTAATTACCTAATCAATAGCTTTGATCGTATTTCTAATGCACCACCTCTTTTCCCATTTTCCATAAAAAATATACGTAAACATTATTAACACCTCTATAAAAAAGGTGTGTGTTAATTTCTCTAACATGGAAAACGTATAAAATACCAGCGTACTCGTCTATAAATAACATTGGTATAACTTGTTGCTTCTCATCGCTGATAATCTACTGCATTCTAATCTATGTATCACTTAAACGGATGGCCATCTACAGTGCAGCTTAATTCATCAGCTTACTATAGCTTCCTTCAATCGCTTATCAGTGTACGTATGTCGATATCGTTGTGATCTGTACGATTCAAGTGGACTCTGTTTAAATACCTGACAGGTACTACAGACCATCAGGGCAGCAGTGGTGATCCGTCGACTCCGATCACCGAGGCACCCTCCACACCTGTTAGCGAGGAGCGTGATCCTCAATTAGTGGCGGTGTCTGTTTGAGACAGGCTTCAGCGAACGATCTTCCTAAAACGGCTCAACAGCCAAGACACTGGCCAAAATTGAGCCGTCCATATTTTAAGAACCATGGAAGATCTTCGCTGCTACACGATGCGCTGCGAAACAATTTGATCGAACGACGACACTCGAATGTGTTAATTAGCACGATCATCGTGTGAAATTTCGAAGAATCGAACGATCGTTACCGTGTTTCAGGCTCGAAGCTTGAACCCGATGAGCAGAGATTGATACCTCGCTGATTTTCGTGTACAATTTGTACGAGGATGTTCAAATCTTTTCTTTCTAATATCTTATTCTCCTTTCGTATATCTTAACTAATCAGATATTATTATTCTAACAAGGTCTTTCAAAGATTAATTGAAACTCTAATTAGACTACACGAAAATGTTACAGAGATTGAGGTTTTTATAGAAATGTAGAGAGGAGAGGAGCAATCAGCATTCCAAATGATTATTCTCGCACCTGGTGCGTGTATATTGTTTTTGTTAACTTGTATAACTTCCAAAGAATGTTAAAAATTAATGTGTTTGTTAAAATACGGAGAACTCTACTCGTTTGCGATCCGCAAGTGAGGGTGAGTATTGATCCTTCGCTGGATTCTCAAATTGAAAAAATGAAAAAAAAAAAAGGATATTCGTATTGTTGTAATCAAAAATGGCCTAATGTTTATCGATAATTGCGTGTGTACACTGTATCGCAAGTTTCGACACACACTTCTGTCACCGTTGCGTAAATGTATGTCTAGTCAATAAATTAATGCAAGCGTGCAACAGTTATAAACGATCAATGCACAATTACCAAAGTATTCGATGCTTAAAGCGTGTTTCGAACGTACAATTGTACTTTCTCGAATAGAATTTAAGAAAGAGACGCGTGCATCTATTTTTTTTTGTTCTCTCTTGAAAATATACAATTATGGTAACATCTATATATATGTACAGATAGAGTTATCAAACAATTGCATACTTAACAACGATTGTTCTAAGTTACTTTACGACCGGTGTAATTCATAGTCATACATTATTTACCGTATATTGTATCGATGTAATGATACTAATAAATTGTAATCAGTTTTCTTAAGCAAACACCGAGCGCAGTAACTTCATCCTTTTCCTGCTCTAAGGATTAAATTTTTCACTTCTTACCTTTTTTAAATTTTTTCCGAGAGATTAGTGACACGATGAGCTTCAATTTTAATTAATTAGACTCCAAATTCCTACCGACCGACCGAGAATTTTTTCCAACCCCCTATGGCTACTCCACCCTTGGATCAAACTAGCGGGAAACGACGAAATAAAGACACCACCGGAAAGGAAGGAGTACATATAATACAAATATATTTTTACGCAATTACGTATCTCTTTGCCTCTAGACACTTATAACATTAATAATAACTTACGGACGCGATCGTTGCTGAATACACGACACCTTTTATTGCACACTAGAAATATACCACAGACGCATTCGTACCTTAAGTAACTACAATAAATAATATTCTGTTTCTGTTCATCATTCTAGCGCTCTTTTATGCAAAAAAGAAATTGAGAGTCTTGCATCTTCTATCGTAAGGATACATTTTGAACAGCTCATTGAATTTCTTTTCTTGTTAAGCTGTTGATTGTTCATTTTACGGAATTTCATCCACATAAATCTTTACACATTCACTCATTGATGTAGCAACGATATAATTACACGTTGCGTTACAAATAAACCAACAATTATTCGTGAAAGACGTACGTCGAAGGCAGAACTCATCACACGTATCTGATTAACCTCTCTCTCTCATTGTTTCTTGTGAATTCGTCTATCTTTTCTCTTTCATACGCAATCAAACGATCGCACACGTTAAAGGTACACACGTCTCGCTACAATAATAGAAATTCACACCGATAAACAAAATATAAGCCCCGTACGTGGACCATGATTTCATTAGCGACAGATTCTATCTTGATCTCGAGCTTTAGGCTTGTGAACAGCGATTTATCACACGTATAGGTATGTCGATATCGTGTACACATTATAGATAGTGTTTCCCTAGATCAGTATTTCCATAGAAATAAATAAATGATTTGATATCGTAATCATTCTTGAATCGGCGCATGTTGATTTAAGTTCATACCACAGAAATTTAAAAGAATTCTGTGGCCAAATTAAATTAGGAAATAATGTTGATGATCATTTTTCAAACTGAGCCGGTTAAATGAAAGGAAAATCGAAAAGACTACTGTTTTATGTTTCCTTTATCTGAAATCATTCATTCAGTCTTAAAGAATTCGAAATGAATTGCCGGCTCTATCAATAAAATATTACCACCATTATTGATATAACATTTTAAATTATATCTTCTCTCTTGTGTATTTCATTTTCTTCTAGATCTACATAATTCCTCCCAACAATATCAAATACCTCAAAGTACATTTTCAACGTCTAATCTGCTTCGTTCAGTAAAAAGAAAAGAAAAGAACTAATTTTTTAAATAACAAATTAGACATCTAGGAAGAGGTGTCCGAAGCTGTAAAGAGTCCTCGGTCCTAGTTGAAAGGAATCGTAATAAAACTTCGACGATCATATCGTCGTGAGACATTGAAATGGATGCAAAGAATTTTTGTGCGAAGAAAATCATTTTCAGGATCAGAGGAACGAGGTGTATCGGTCTCGATCGATCAAGAGATCGATACGAATTCATGATACTTGGTCTCGTGTATAGGACTATTGGAAGAATCGATATCGATTAATTATTGTCAAATACGCTGTATGTTGATTACGCGATGGTCGATACAACCACGACGCGTTAGAAGTTGTAAAAAAGTCAGACCCAGTCGCTCGTGTTTGAAGCGAATAAAACACCCGAGAGATATAAACAGCTTAAGATCTATACAGAAATACCCTGAAACGGGGAAGCTAGAACGAATTGGCCTCTCGAATTTTGTACCATGAATACAGATGCATACAAGATAAACATTGCAACAAAATTTCAACCCTTTCACTATAACTAGTATCTATAATCACTTGCCATCAAATGATTTTCACTGCCTATTCGAAAGGGTTAAAAATTCTCTGACTTCTTTTCGTTCCCTTGCAACAATACTTTTTAGCAAAAAAAAAAGAACAAAAGGAGGAGAAGAGACGAGAAACTTTATCGAAAACTTCGTCATTTTGGTCTTCTATACAACAAGAGTAAATTTGATTTAATCATTGCCCCTTTCTTTCCTTCACACGAAGGGCGAATGAACAAGTCTATGGATCAGCAACTGTAATGATATACAATTAGAGAAATCTCAATTCCAAAAAGGTGCTGTGATATTCGTATCCGATACGTATGATATTGACGCGTGCAGCGTTCAAGAAACTCGATGGAATTTCATCTACGATTAAACACGAACACATTCAGTTTTGCGTTTAGTAATGAAACGACTAACGAACGTACACGACTCTCGCGAGCGTGCAAACGTCGATCGGTGAACAATGATAAATTCGTTTTGGCACATTAACTCGATTAGTTCCCTTTTCTTTAGCGTGTAAATTATTTTAGGCCATTGTCACCTCGTGTGTCTGTGTATGTGTAAGCTCGATTCAACGCTCTTCCAGGTATCCTGTTTCGTAACATTTCATTGTTTTATGTATCGTCCCAACGAGTACGTAAACCGAATTCTCGAGACAACGCGGGTATACGTTGTCTCTTCAACATTTCCCTTCCCCGTGCGAGAAATTAACAGGACACGCGCGATCAAAATCCATAAAAAAACCATTCGTTTCCTTTCTATTTCATTCGATATATGGAAAGTACAAACAAACTCTCCTGAAAGCGATTACCTGAAATCAATCAGCAGCAGCAGTCATTAAATTTGTAGTTTATTAAAGTTGCAACAAACGAAGGGGTTGTTTGATTTCAGTGAACCGTTTCACACAGTCAGATCCAACCAACGTCGAACAAATCACTTCAAGCTATTCTCCTGAGCTTTGATCATGTTAATGATCCATTAGAGTTATATTTAATTCGGTTCCATGATCATTTGGAAACCGTGTTTCTTTACGTCTCGTTGCTAACGGACCTCCCTTATCCTGGTCTTGATCAACTCGGCCAATACGAGCCAGAGAACCTTTCCACGTTCCCTGAAAAATCGTCGGGCGAATACGTCCTGAACAGCCACGATCGGACGATGACGGACCCGACCACGTGTGAATTGCACACGCGACAACGATCCCCACGGCGTCTCATGCCGACGTGCGTGAACTGCGGCCCTTACCTGGGCAACACGAGAGTTCATGGTTTTGTATTATTAACAAGGCATGAATTACTTACGACGACCTCGAATATACTTACCGAGGGCCGTACTAGATCACATCACACTTTCCAAAGCAGCAGATGGTTGGTCGAATCCTCGCGACCAGCCTGCAGCTCGGCGGATGCCTGGGGTCCTCTGAAATCCTCGTAACCGTCTCCTCCCGATATCACCAGCAGCTTTCCACGATTGATATTGTTCTGCTGGGTTTTGCTGGATTTCAAAGAGTATCTGTTCACCTTTGGACGTGGATCTGGCTTCGATGGTGTCGTCGTTTCCACACATGTGAGGAAACGAACGTGTCCAGTGTGTCCATGAGGAATACCTGATAAATATTATTTTCCAGCCTTTGAAATTAATTATTTTAGACTGAGGTCTTGAATCACTAGCAAAATTAAACTTTCAATGAACGACGACTTCTTTGATTGAAAACACATCTGTTATTAATTAATATCAACTTCATGAATCTTCCTTCATGAATTAAAATTCAACGCCCCAGTGTCTCGGTTCGACGAGCGGAAGGAATCGAGATACGAGGTCCAAGATTCCCTTAAAAATACCAGTTTCATCTAGAAACGACGAGCTAGTATCATAATTAAATTGTACCAGGCACCAAAAGCATGTTCGTTCGAGAATCGACGTCAAAGGCTTCGTTTCCCAAGATTTATCGATGGTCGAGTTGCAAGTACCTTATAAATATCGCGGCGTAGGCACGTTATCACGTGTAGGACACACGGATGGGTCCAAAAATTTCGCAAATGATTGATCGACGCCTGTATCTCGATGGCGTCGAAGCGGGACACTTTGCGAGGAGCACGATGTTCGTTTGCTAGCCAGCTTCTAATTATATCGAAAGCAATAACGATGATTATAGCCGATCGAATATGACGTCAATACCTACCAGTTACGATCGGCGGCTGAGACATCCTCTGTGTGGATGGCTTTATATGGGGAATTGGCACGGTTAATAGTACCCCAGCGCTCGTGCCGATCCAAAGCAACTCGTTGCAAGCCAAAAGTGCTGTAACCCTGAGACAGGCAGCCTTGTGTTGTCTTATTATGTCATCGCAACCTGCAGCAAGTTTAAAGCTTCCGTTAAAATAAATACCATGGACAGGAGGGAAAATCATGCTCCAACTTCTAAGATGCTGAATAAATTACATTAAATTAAATATCAGTTTGGAAAGAAAATACAAGAGGCTCAAAACATTCTTTATTTTATTACAAATGAAGGGTGTAACGTGTTTCACTTTAGGGGATGTTGAATGCTCGGTGTTCAATAGACTGATTTATGATGTCATGCAGATGTGTGTCCAAAAACTGTTAAAGGTCTGTTTAGGGTCGGGTTGCAAGAGCTAACTGCAGGTGGTCCTCCAATTTCCAGTTGCGAAGGCAGGGTTGTAGCAATATGAATACTGAAGAACTACATGTACCACAGAGAATCCTACTTCATAAAATAAACATGATGATTTTTTGTTCTAGATGAGATACCTCAATGTCTCGAAGAATCTCCAGATTTAGGTCAAAATAGGAGCTTAAATAAATCCAGGATTCGCAGATCTGATGGAGATCATGAATTAAAGGACAACGGGGGTTAGATGCTGGAAAATGGCTTTACAATTGAGTACTATATGTATTTACATGTATATAGAGACTTACTGGTAAGCATTTTGGTAACAGCCGGTGCTATGTTGATGTCCGTCAAGCATTCGTAGCTACCAGAATGAAAGAGCCGCAACACGGCGCTGTTGTGCAAAGAAATCCAGACTCCGAGACCGCCGGAACTCGCCATACAGGAAACCGATAAGGACGTGTCATTGCTGACAGCGAACGTGTGCTCGATGTCCAACGAATGAGTGTTCAGGATTTTCACGGAATTGTGACAGCTGCACCAAAGTTTCCCTGACACCGGAAGCATCTTCGTTACTGGAGATGCCGCTGTACCGATTGACACAGTTGTTGGATCGGGTGTGTTCCAACCACCCACTACGATTAGAGAAGATCGTTAAAGTATTCTGCCAAATATTGTTCATGTGTTATTAATTATAGTTTTTATATGTTAAAAAATCTGTAAGATTGTGTGGAATATTTATTGAAATGAAATAAAAATATTTTTATGGAAATATAGAACTTACTATGGTCTCGAGTGTAGACGGTGATGTCTCCATTGGCAAGTGACACGAATACTTTATTATCCAAGTATCTGAAATTTCGAATCAATGAAAAATGTTAATTAACTCGGCTACTACCACTCTTTGAATTGGAACCTGAGGGAACTCTTACATTATACAATGCACACTACTATTGTGCTGTATCTTCACTTTATTTTTCTTTATCCTGATATTATCATTGCAATTGTAAACGTGTACGCATCCGTCTTCGGTTCCTAACCACATGGTTGGCTGATTGACATCCTCTTCTGTAGTGACACTATCAATACTCGGAACATCGCCGGTCAAAGTTAGGCTACCCGTATCTGCACATGGAATGTCGTCCGAGTCCGAGTCGTCGGAGCTCGAGCTACTACAAAATATCTTTCTTAGACTAACGATAAAAGATAGTAAATTTTATTTGAAATTATATTCATGGATCGACTGAAATAACGTGCTCAAAATCGATGTAAAAAAAGTAACAGTTTGACAAAAAGTAACACTGAAAGATTTGTACTTTATAACAAGAAATCAACAGATAATTTCGATTAGAATTTCTTATGCATAAAAATTTAAGAAAATTTTAAAAACAAATGCTGTAAAAATTGTTTGTTATTACAAGTTGACTCCTCGTTACATGATATTTTTTTCGATTCAAACTTTCAGTGAAGAGCATTACCTATCTAACTGTATGTTCCCGCCACTGGCATCGACATCCTGGACCGAGATGCTTATGCCGCTCTTACTGTTCGCGAATGAAATGTTGTTAGTCACGCACGAATTTGATCTAAAATATAATACAATTAAAGTAAGGTCCTCGTCTACTGATCTACGAAACATTAGAAGAAAAAAAAGTAGTGATTCTTTAAAAATACACCTGCTTGAACCCTTCAAGGACCTCGATGAGATAAAATACAATTTTGAAGTTCATACTGCTCAAAACTACAGAATTAGCAAATTTGTCTGGTAATTCAATATTGAGTTAAATAAATAAAAAAAAATTCAAAGAGCAAGATAAACTTCAAAACCTGGAAACACGAGACAAAAAATAAATCCTACGACAGACAAATGCATCTACCTCTGCGTGCATGCCGGAATTCCAGCGACGCACAGAATCCTCGCGTTGCAGACCCCATTACAAGATGTAACCTGCGGTGGTTCCGGGGTCAGGCTCAACACGCACACCTGACCCACGTAGCCATCGCTGTTACACACCCACACGTCTCTGGAGCCTTGCCCGTTGGCCAAGGTGGGTGCAGCGCAGGTGAACTGCAAGCCAGCCCGGGTCTTTCGTATCGGCAGAGGTCCCACAAATTCGGGGCAGGGCCTCCTATCAGCGGACAACGCTGTAAGTTGAGACATCGAGAGAGGTCAGAATCTAGCGTATCTCCGCTACGAGTTTCTAATTTACGACCGCACTGTATTTCTGAACCTAACTATACCCGGTTCAAAACATCAAGTTAGAATTCGAAAGGGATGACCGTAGGGGAGTCTGTACGTCACTCACCTAACTTTTGCTTGGCTTCGTTGAAACTCTCCTCCCAGCTGGCCCTTTTATCCGGCTTCGTGAACATGACAGAGATATTCTCGATCCCTGCCCTGAAAATAAACGGCAGAATTTTTCTCACAATCCCGTGGAAGTCACGTTGTGTCGACAAACATTTGCGATACACGTGGACCAAGAACGTGAGTGGAACAAAGTAGAAAAACATAGTATTGTGGCTTTGTGGCTGGTTAACGGGATAGACGGGGTGTCGACGTTCAAATTGTTGGAAACTCCCTTGTTCTCCTTCAGATGGAATTCATTCGACGTTCGAGCAATGGACGCTTGACGAGGATTGCGCGGAGGACGAAACAATAGAAGGGAGAAACTGAAGCAACGGGTGCGATGAAAGAGCTTTTCAAGCATTCGAAATGGATGACGTTCGAAGGAAGACAGACGGAAAATGTCGTTTGAAAGGGGTTGTTACTTACTGAGTATTAAGAGTTAATTCCAGACAGGCCAACTGCGAATGAGCCGCGTTCCTCTCAGCTAATTGACGCTGTGCCTGGCCAAGCATATCTTTGATAAGATCCTCTAATTGCTGCTTCGCACCGTGCAACGTTGACACCAGCTCCTGAAGCTGAGTCAACGTCGCGCAGTCCTCGCGAAGGTGGTCTACCTCGCGCGCCATTCGCCTCAAGTTCTCATCTTTGGCTGGGAACAGAAGAGATGCTTACTCTTAATAATTGCTGAGACAGTGTGGGAAAAGATGACGTTGCTGATATTCGCGAAAAGCAAGATTGTAATATTTTGTAGCTTGAAAAGATGATGAAATATTGAACGGATAGCAGTTTGCTCATTTTGGAATACCTTTCATTACTTCTAAGTCGTCCAGCGGTATTCTCATTAACATTTTGTACTTGTTCGCTTCCAGTAGGCCGACCAGACTATTCGGGCAGGAACTTCTGGAAGAAAAACGATCTTATATATAGAAAATTAATAAAACAATGGGAATATCAAGTCTATCCATTTCGGAATAAAATCAAATACAAATGAACATATCATCGTTTTAGTTAAATGCGTGATTGACATTTTATTGATACTTCCCATGTGCTGAATACGAATGAATCGATATATAATTCGTCAAATCATCAGACGACTTTAATTAAAATCAACAATGTGAGCAAGCATCGAGATGAAATTTTTAAAACCCTCGGGAAACTCACGTCGATGGTTTTCTGATGGTTCCGCTTCTTCTTTTGATGCTGGTGATGACCAACAAATCGGAGAACAAAAACAGCGCTCGTTCCTTTCTCGTTCCTTGATTCGAGGCGATGGTGACCAGATCGTGGCGGACAAACGTTCTGCGACAAAGACAGACGAGCGGATTCAGACGGATCTTTTTGTTTTCATAGCAATTTCTATCGCGACACGCATCGGTATCGGGAATCGATACGGAGTGCACGTTTAAAGCCTGAATAGTTCATAAAGTGAAAAAGCGAACGCTACGTTTCACGGAAGGTTTCTAAAGGGAAAGCCTCTGCTCTATGTTTAATTTCTTTCAAACAATTTTGCATGATTTTGCTCGTGAACTCTACTTTTATTTATTTAAAAAAAAGGACAGATATCACAATATTATAAATCTGCATAAAAATAAGTTAAATTAATCAAGTTTGTTGATAATGCGAAAAACCTAAAAATCGATGCAAATATGACAGGTGTCCTTTTTCCACCGAACCCCTTAATGCTAATAAAAATGAACAAAATTGTCGATTTCTATATTTTCTAATTATTAATATGTTACCTGTCGTTTGTCACGATACCAGCAAGTCCTTCGACAAGTGCCTGGACCTCCTTCAAAGTAGTCTGCTGTTGTTCCCATTCGAGGGACTCCCTTTCCGTGCAATTGATCTTCACTACCAGCTCGTGCACTTCCTTTTGAGCGGCTTGAAGTAATTCGAAATCCGGATGCGTGGTATCGGTATGCTTCAGCAGCCTCTGGATCAGCAGCTCGTAACGAGGTATCTTCTGTACCGGTTTGATCAATAACTGATCCAGCCCGAGTTTTCCTTTGTGCTCCCGCTCCATTGTCTGTCGCGCAAAGGGACAATCGAGGCATACAAATTTGCCGATCACCGTTCAGACAAGTAAAATCGCGAGTTATGGGCAACAGAAACTGGTTAACGTTTAACAGAATTGAAAGTTACTAATTGTGAGAATAGCTACTGTTATAAAGTTTGGTAATTGCTAGAAAAAGGATACAGCAATTTATTAGCAAGCATTAAAGTTGATCGATTCGATTGAAAAGGAAAGTTATACAAGAAAATCGGATTCCCTTGTCTGAATTGGAATAATTTGCGCGAGTAGAGAGGTGCAAACTGTAATGAAGTTGATCGAGTGTCGCTATTCGAGAACTGAGGAGACAAAAACGTTAATTGAGACAAGGAAAATTAAAGAGAATACACTGTGTACCTCGAGGAATCGTGCGAAAGCCGGTTTCGCTTGGCAGGTCGTTTTTATCGCCTTCTTTGCGGATTTCCAATTATCAAGGAAAAGGGTGTACGTCTCCAGGACGACTGGCTTCGTGAACTGAAAGAAACAGTCTTAAAGTATTCAATCTTCTACCTTCATTATGTTAATTGAATAACTTCTTGCAGAACAGCGATTAATCATTGTGATAATAAAGAACATGAGTGACAAATATGAATGAATTGAAATAATTGATAACGATATTAATATTAAAATTAACGTAGAATTACTAGTGATAGGGACTACTAATTTCAAATTTATTATAAGAATATTTGTAATTAAAAATAATTGTAAAGATCCCCTAAAAAGTTTCGTAATTTTCTTGGAAGCTGCAGTCTAAAGATTAGAACCCCAAAAATAATGTTTAAATAGAACAAAATATTAATTATTTTCCATAGACACGTACCACATCGAGGAATACGTCGCCAATCGTCTGCTTAAGTTCCCAAGTATCGAGTCTTTTGCGTAGTTCTTCCAGAAACACCTCGTGATGATTAAGAATAGAAGGAATCTGAAAGGCAGAAACATTTTCAATTAACAATAAAACGATTGTACTCGAAACAATAGACAGGATACACGCAATGAACCGCTTTTCAGTCTTCTGTTTAAATAATCCATTCGAAAAATCCATCTATTGAATCAATGAAAAAATTGTTTACGAATGATTGAATATCGAAATCAAATCTCTGATGTTTGATTTAATGGAACTACAGTTTCTCATCTATCATTTGAATAACTTACACTTTATTTAATCTAGATCCTCTTAATTAGGATCTTAGCTTGTAATTAGGAAAATAACGTTATGTTTGCAACAGTAGTAAATTGCACGTACCTAGTCACACCGATCCTCATTTTGTTAGCAGATATTACCACCAGGAATCATGTTAATAATCTCCATTCATTTTATCAATGATCACGCGTTAAGGAGTGACATTATCTTTTATTTTTGCATCAGAAACGAGTGGTAAAATCTATCCATTTAATTGAAAGATTATGGTGACCGAATACATCGATCCAGTAAATGGCATTAGAAGAATTTACGTGAACAGATTTCGCTTTCATTTAGCCTCTTTTTTATCGCCTTGGTGCATGTACCAGCGCGAATTCCAACGTGACAGGATTGCGCGGAATTTACGGCAAGTAGAGAATCGCGAATATAGTCAGACACTGGAATGGTACGCTCGATAATTCCCGCATCAATATTATCATATGAAGTTTGATCTCTCAAACATCGCTAATAATCATGAATTGCATTAAATTATTATAGGATTATATAAGCAGCTTACAATTAAGTCTTTTCAATATTTTACGATATTGCCAAAATTACAAGATTAAATTTAATATAACAGCAAATAATTATAATTATTTTGCTTTTAATGAAAGATGGAAATTTTTACCTGATAGAAGATTTCATCCACTGTCGCTGAATCCACCAGACCAGCATTTTCGGGACTCTTTAATGGTTGAAGGTATTTCTGGAACCATAAAAACAATTCCATTGAGATGCACCATTTGAATGCTCCCATATTCAAATTCGTATTAATACACCCATCAAATTAAATTTTTGCATACACTGAAGTTTCAACAAACAACTAATTCAATCGTCACGAAGAATATTAATTACCCCCGAATAATATCAACACGCTTAATTATAAGTGGAAAACGTTCCGTTCGCATTTCTTCCCGTCCACGTCTACGTGTCAGCTGCCAGTGAAATATTCAGGTTAAACGTCGGCCCTCACTTTTCTTTTTCCCCATGATTCATAAATAAATGCATAGGCCCGCTAATGTGACCGCCATGCAATTCTCTGGATTCCATTACTCCCGACTGAAGAGGTACGATCAAAAGAATGTGAGGATTGATCGACTATAAATGAGAGTGTTTACTGCAGTCTTCCCTCGATCTAAACCGTGTTTTTACGTTCATCCTTATTTTCAAGGAAAAAGAAGCTGATCAATCAGCGATAAATAACGTGGTATCTACATTTAGAAGAGAGAGAGAGAGAGAGAGAGAGAAAGAGGTTCAAAGTCCTACGTCAAAATTTTAGCACAAATCAGAATAATTTTCATTTAAAAACAGGTCGAGCAAACAGCGGTCTAGACAAAAGAAAATACTCAAGGAACAGCTTGCTCGATAAACAAAAAATATTTTTCACAATGGTTCTGCTTTACGAGATGTTTGCGCAAACCACTTGGAACGAATCGTTTTAATAACAGGATGTCTCCGTCGTTAATTTCCGAGGGATGAATTAACACCGTGGCCATGATGGAGTTCGCGAGGAAACTCGCGCGCCCAGTTTATTTGTGCTTTCCTGGTGGATACCTTTCTATTATTTTTCTAGGTCGAAGCGATGACATGAAAAATCGCAGCGTTCTCGACACCGTCGGCCTCAAGGCTGTCGTTAAATAATCGGCCAGCTCGAACAACAATCATCGTGGCACGGGTGGCGCGATGTTTATAAAATATGACAATCAAAGCGGGGTGGGTTCGTCGAGTTCTGGAATCTGAATTCCCGGTGAATCGTTCGAAAAAATCTTGTGACGAAACTTGCCTCTCGCGTGGATGTTGCTACTTTTAACCCTCTTACGATCCTCAGAAATACTTTACACAAAAGATCCTCTTCGTTCTCTAGTAATTATTCTATCGAATTAAACTGATACCACTAATAATTCGTAACAACCAAAATATTGAACGTGTACAGAAGAAGGTGTTCAATATTCAAACCACCCTTTGCTCTCACCCTTGTGTTTATCGAACGTTGCAGCCACCTTGACAAATGCAGATTGCTGAAATCGTACGTGTCGTATCGGAACTGGCAAATAAATCTGGAAATCGAGTTTGCCAGAGTGTGATTCTATTAAATTCTAAACACGTACGTCTCGACGGTACGGGGGTTGCGTTGCGAAGGTTGCGTCCCATTTAAGCGTCGATTTGCAACCGTGTTTATAAAGAATCGTCCTTCCGTGATCGTGTCGAGTCGCAGAGAGGCGGCACGGTAATTACGACGGACTAATTGCAGGCATTATTTATCGATCCAGGAGCCTTCGATACGAATACCGGGATGAAACTCGAGCGTTCACGGGACCGAGCTTCTTGAAATGTCAAACGACGAGGAAGAAAGCAGCGTTTCCCATCGCGAACGATTTTCTACGGTTCTCGGGTTTTGTGTAACGTATCTCATGCGAAGCTTTAGAACCGGAGAAATTTAATCGTTTTGCAATGAAAATTGAAACCTCATCTTTGTGAAGATTATAATACTGATGGGATACGGATGAATAAATATAAAATGCTCATTTGTTTCCGCTAGAATTACAGATATTACAGTTATTGTTTCTGTTTTATATTCTTCTCTATTGTACATCCTACCTTTAACCTTTCAGCTCAAAGGGTCCCGTGGAGAAAGAGTATAAAAAATTGCAACCCTCTGTCAGGTAACCGGCAAAGTGCTTGACTGATAAGCTCCTTTTCTCATAACTCTCCTTCTAAATTATTTTCAGAAACACTGCGTTTACTTTCCACGCGGAAATCAGAACTCGGATTGTCTGACGTACTCGCTTAATAATCTACTGTCGATGTCATTCTCAGCTGGTTTTAATTTATGACTTCAAAAGCGTTTCGCTCGGTTCTTTGATCGCCGTAGAAATTCACTGGGTCAGTTTAATCTACCGCTTCTGTTAAAAGTACAAATACGAATAATGCTTCTACTGAAGGATTAATAATTATATCATACGCCTACACATTTTCAATGATTTTTCATTACATATGAAAGAGCTATTTTCGAAAGAGGAGAAAATAAATAATTTTACTGGAGTTTAATAGGAATATGAAGAACACGTGTCGCAATTTAAGTGGATGCAACGATTCTTCCAGCAATTTCAGGAACCTACCAGGAAACGTTCGTCTAATCCAGACGGCACGTTTAATGAAAACAACAAGTCGGAGGATGCGAGGCTGCATAACTTAATGAGGAGCTGTTCACGAAGTAGATCATTCGAGTGGAATCCTTGCACGAACGAAGTAAATAAACGGACAACGAGCTTGTTTACGAGAAACAAGGTCGCGGCTTCGATGTTAGAAGAACTTTCGAAAAGTGCATCCCAACAGACGTGCTCGTTGATATCCCGCCGGAAGCGAAAACAACGAAAGCGACTCGCAATAGTGTTGCAACATTGTTATACATTTATGTTCCTCTATTCCATCGCGATTCCGATATACAAAAAGTTTGAAAGGAAACTTCTACCCTGAAGTGACAAACGTAACAAATTTTTAAAACAATGATAAATATTTTAAAATTGAGAATGCGATTGTTATTAGTAATGTAACAGTAATATTGCATGGATTTGCAAATTCTATTAAAATAATATTGCACTCACATTGACTAGTATTTGCAGCGCTTCCACGTACGATCGCTCGGTGTCATAAAGTTCCACAACGACGTGAGTCCTTGTGTCCTGAAACGCAAAAAAGACAATTAGAGAGGATGAAAAAAGTTTTCATACATTTCTCACATTCCTGGAAAATAAAAGGAAAAGGAAAACATCAATTACTATGTTGAGTTTCATAAGGGTTATAAGTGAAACAGAAAAATATAAAAAGAGTTGTTGATAACATTGATATCATAATAGCAATGCAAAGTAGAGAACGAAAAGCTTAAATAAAAAAATGAAACAATTGCATCCTTAATGACTCGTATTAAAGCGTGTCTGACCATGTACTGGCTGTTTCTACTGCGGCCGTCAGGGTATTTAATTCTATTCTCCTTCGCCGCACAATGGAATATTTGCATAGAAAAGCTGATCAAAATTTCATTTTGAAAATTTACTTATACTTAATTAGGAATTAAGTACATAATAAATTAAATACAGAACTGAATACTACTGCAAATATGAAGCTTGAAGGAATGAAATTTCATTCTTTTTCCTACTGTAAAGGGAATAAAAATGGTTATGACCTATATTTTTTTATAATTTTAGTAAAATGATAGAATATTTTTTAAGACCAAGTTCTTAATACAAATATCCCATTGTGCTTCATCTCAAATATAAGCGAATCTCATAATTACCCATCTAATAGAAACAAAACGATTACGAAATGGTTTTGATTATCCGAACAACATAAAAGGTGGCCAGGTCTGAACAGAACATTGTCCGGAATGCCGCAAATCTGTTCGCCAGCAGGGTTACCCGGGCATCCATTAATTGCATCGTTCCGAGTATTCGCTCGTCAATTGTTCGAAAAACAACGGAATCTGTTGCACGGTTCGATTCCGTTGTCTCGTGATAAAGATTGCACGTGTCTCCACGTGTCGCGTGCAAACACGTGCGGTTCATCACGTGTTTCCCGATGCCAACATGACACTGATTACAAGAAAAACTGTTCCCGTTATGTAAGCCGTAAGACGCAATAGATAATCTTACGGTCTGGCACCCGACAATTGTACCGTAATCGACGATTATGACATAAGCGACTATAATGTCGAGGTTGCATCCTACCGAGCTACGTAGCACTCTTTTATACTCTATTTTTCTTTTGCTATCGTTTAACCCTTTCAGTTCCCTTCGGTGCTTATTAAAATATTAAAGTGTGGTAACAAAAATATTATAACACTCAGATTTGTGTAAAATTACCTAATGGAATGACAGGTCAATTTGCAATACTTAATACAATAGATAATTCTCCTCAACATTTCGTCAGCATTGCAGCTAGTTTCAGTTTCACAATCCTGAAGGAAACATCAACAATGCCATCAGCTTGCCATTCTATTATTCCAATACTTTCATGCACTTATGTATTTAACACAGGATAGTCTACTAAATATAACATCTCAACACTGCGGACTCTATAATCTGAAACCACGTGTGAATAGTGGCAGAGTGGAAAATATTTCCACCGACGAATTCTGCAGATTCGCGTAAAACAACTAACAAAACTAGTGTGTGTAACAAGCAATGGGTACAGTGTTCCCGTTACATGTGTATTAATACGGTCAGTGTGCACGGTGGCTTCGTGTAAGCATGAAAAGGAAAACTACCCACGCGGTCTGTGCTGACACGCTCGTTATTTTCGCTGTCCACCGACGGCTGGCTGATGAGTTTCCGATCAGCGTTCATCGTCATCCTCTTCCACCACCTTTGCCGATCCTTCGAAACGGTTCAGCACCCTCTCAAATTGCATATCAATCCGGCTCTCCGCACAGAAGTCCCATGTCGATCGTTTTCACAATTGTCAACGACACTCGCGTTCAACAACGATATCGAATCTAATTAACGAGGATTTTCTCAAGCTCAGTCATATTCCCGTTTTGCAAAATTAATAATTCAACCCTAATCAATCACACCTATGTGTAATCATATTAATTACTATAATTAGCTATGTATTATATTGTATCAAAGGGTATTCTACCCCTTTATAAAATAAACACTTTTTCTTGTTCTTTGATATTCTCCTTATTTCTCGAAACACTTAGGCGATATCCTTCTCGGGTATACCTGATCGCTAAAAATACCCGGGAAACGTGTAAAAGTTATATCCAGTTACAGACACGAAAGAGTTACAGTATCGGAAAAGCTAACGACGTGAGAAAAGGAGCTTTCCTTCGATCATCGCTTCCCCTCTCGCTTATCAGCCGCAAGCACTGTTCTACCTTTTTTCCAACCTCGCTTCGACCTCGATTAACATTTTCTTAACACCCCGACACGCGAACTGGAATTATTAATAAAGCGATTAATCACGGGAAAGTTACATCGCGCTCGTTGTAACCTCGAAAGCGAATTGACCGATTTTAAAATGGAAACCGTGCAAATTGAATGAATCAATTAAGAAAATCAAGGACAAACATATGCCGCATTACGATACTGTTTGATTTCAGAAATTTGTATAATAGAATCGGGGAAAATTGTAAATGAAGTCTGCCCCCGTGTATGCACACGCTTTTCGATGCAAAGTGATTCAGCAGTGCCACTTTAAAAGCCGAGGCCGTACGTCCGGTAAGTTTTGGCGTTTCCACGCAGAGCTTTCACACTTCGAGCTGGATGATCATACGTCGAACACGTCGTGCATGTACGTTGCGTTATATTTAGCGATGTGACTCAGGAACCCCTCGTGAGCTTACAAAGCTCCCTTTTCCTATCTTTTTCGCTCTCAAGCTTTTCCCTCTTCCGTCGAGAAGCTCGCCGTTCTGTCCGATTACCGAACCGATTACATTCGAGCGGATCTTAAGGCATGATTTTCACTCGTTTCCGGATTTCCAGAATTTTAATATTACAAGAGTCTTTAATATTTCATTTTCAGAAGAAGAATATTAAATCTGTAAACCGATCGTTTATCGTTTTCAAAGTACCACGTGGAAAGTGAAATTCCAAAGATTCCTGAGACCAATAATCCAGCAATATTTCCAGGAAACAAAGCAAGATAAGCGAAAGGGGAAAAGTGGAGCACCGATATTGGCCCGACGAAGAGTCCTTGGAAATCTTACAACTGAACCGCGTTTCCAACGTGAAATTAAATCTTAATAGAGAAACGCAATGTTCTCGAGAGCAGATTGGCTGATGTCGATGCAAGGCTGCATCTATACTACCCCTGCAAGTTGAGCATTAACTTATACGAGGAAACATGTGTTTCCTGTTCGATGGAATTCGAGGGTTGTGATAATCGTGTATCGTGACAGCTAACACTATCTCGTTACTCATGTCACTGTTTCGAGAAACAAGGCTGCATTTATTAACCGGTTGCGAATTATGCAATCCTACGCCTTATGCAACAATTTATTTCATAATAATCAAATCTTCGTTTCGTATACTGGTTTTTAATAATTTTACCACCTCTAGCAATTAAATTTTTAATAATTTTTGAACTAATATTCTGCAAGAAATTAAGAAATGGATTCATTCATTAGCTTTAGCTCGCGAAATGATAGTCTACGCAATTTTCCTTTATTGTACTGATCTCCCATGTGACATTAAACAACGACAGGCCAGAACTAAGGAGCTTTCCTAAGAGACAGGGAGAGACTGAGACTCTTTGACCTTTTTATTGTTGCCGTGCACGATATCGTTCGCGTGATCGTATTGGTGTTTGTTCGACATTATAGAAAAACACAATCACTTGCTTTCTGTGCAATTTAAAGAGAAGAAAAACAATATCCTGTCATGCAACGAGGAGAAATTAGAAAGAAAAAGGAAGAAATTCGAAGATAAACCTAGGTACTTTGTGATCCTGATCACATACGATGCATCTGTAAGCAGCATTACGTATATGATACTTCAGGAAAACGTACAATACGTCTCGAAGGAGCTGCATAGTAATCCTATCTAAATAGCGCGTAACCGAAGGTTAACCCTTGACCTTTGTTAAGTATCAGCAGCACCGTGTCTGGTACTTATATTATTTCTGTTGGTTCCCAATTAGAGGGATTAAACGCGATTTTCTTCGGTGGGTATCGCAATGTTCGCTGCACTTCTCGCGTGATGAACTTTACCGTACAATGGTGGAAGCAATGCACGTTATTTACCAGGCATCAAAGGATTTAATGACAGCAATTAACCATGCGTCGTAATGAACTGTGATTAAGTTATTCGTCGGCAATTATAATGAACAATTTTCCCTAAAATTCAATTATACCCTCTAATGTGATATTAAGTTTGAAAATGCATTTAATGCAGGCTGATTGTTGATCGTTTTATCTTTGTTATTCGCGATCGTTAGTCCAACTGTTTCGTTAGAGATTATAAGATGCAACCGGCACACGAGGATCCGAATAGAATCGAGAATAAATAGAAGGTGGCCGAGCTTACGTGATGCACTAGTAAATATGCAGTTACACTGGTCGCGTAATATTAGTTCTAGCCACCACCGACAATATTATCAAGACCCTGGAATTTTCTAAACATCCAGCAGCTGCTGTTAACCAATACAAACATACCCGAATACTTGAAACGTTACTTCGAGTTTCTTTTCGTACACCTCGAACATCGAGTCACGCGTGAAACATAAATTACGATCTCTGAAATAGAAACTGTATGCATTTAACATGCAATTACTCGCTAGATCACCGTTCATCAATGCCACTCGCAAGGCAACAGGTTGACTACAACCACCAACGTTCTAACTATCCAAGGAGTACCAAATAAATCTACCAATCACTAATCAATATTTTTTTTCCATTATCTCTTATCGGACACTATCAAGGAACAAAACTATTCCTAATTAATCAGACACAACTGCACTAATCTATAAAGCGAAATTTCGCCGATTACCGTCACCATCCTCGACACGTTTCTTAAAGGACTCACACGTGACACGATCCAAGGTGGATCGAGCAGATTAGTCCTCCGAAGGATCAAAGTAAAATCACTATGAAAGTCAATGAAGTGTCTATTTTATCCCGGTGATTAACTCGCGGATTTTGATCGGTAGCGTCATCATACGATTTGATCTACGATCGAGACACGGTACGAGAATCAAGTGCAAGCTCGATGATGTCCGGAGCTTTCGCGGAACGGCAGCGAGACACGGCGTTACGCCTGAAACTGGCGACCCGTCGCACAACCACGGCCAAGCTCTGATCGATGCCCAAGAGAATAGCGACTGCTTGCGGAGGAAGAGAGGCAGATGTTTCGCTTCCAGAACGCCGGCGCGCACTCTCACGTGGATTACACGCGCGCACCGTGTATCCTGTCCATCCTGTACGAGGAGCTTTGCCGCGCGACCTTGTCCCAGGAAGGGAAGCTCCGACGACCTTGCACCGACACCGCTAAAGAACCCCCTCTGATTGCTATAGCAATCGCGATCCCGCGAACCGACAAGCTTTATCAAACATTTCAATTATTTTCTATGCATTATACATGCCCTATAATTCAAGGATATATCTTTGAAAAAATTAACCCTTTCAATGGAATACATAAAAGTGCACGAGTATAGTTTCTAATGGAAGAGTTAATCCCTAATGGTAAAGACGTATGGTTTTATAAAAACGTGTAATTTGGCTATGTCGTTCGCAGAAATTACGTGAATGCTTGAAACAACTCTAGTCGCTGACACAGGAAATTCACCTCCATCAAACCGAATTAGCCTGATATTGTCTGTTTCCACAGAGTGTCTCTCAGCAAGGATTTGATATGTCTTTGTGACAGTGCCCACTTTAAGAGAGTACTTAACGTTCAAATGCTAAATAATTCCCTGTCCAAAAATTATTTAATCCTTCTGAAAATACATAAAAATAAAAATCGGAGAGCATGAATCATCGTCTATATTGAATTTTTACTGGATGCAATAAATTATCTGTCAGAACATGAAATAATATTTCTATCGGAGGTAACAAATTTTTAACACGGCAAAGAGATAAATTATAAAATTGTCGTTCGTATATTATTCATTTCACTCTGTTCTGTGACAAGTTGAGAATGATAGGAATGAAAATTTTATTTCGATGATATTGGAATATATAAAAATTGATGGGCTCTTCGCATGATCATATAGCCATGAATTATTATATATTTTTTTTTTACGTCCCGTAAGCTACATTTATTTCGAGGATGCTTGTTTAGTCTGCGCCGTTGCAGCAACGTTTCAGCCTCGCAATTTTCGGGCATTTTATTCGCGTTTGTCGAACGCTCCCGGTGCAGTCTGCTTTTCATTCGACTGTGGATTGGCAACTGGTTATGAATAGCTGCGTTATATTAACTTCTGCACATTAAAATTTGTGGACCTCCAGTGCATGGCGTTTAAACGTCCAGCATCAAAAACTTTCATATGGAAACTGTTATGCCTGTGTCAAAATTTTATGAGCTGCAAATTTTTATTTAAAAATCGTCGAAAACATCTCTGCAATGGATATTGATATATTAAAACGAACCAATTTTATATTCAAAAATTGTCATAGGCATACATCGTATACTCCTGAATAGCTTTTATGTATTGACATTTTTAAATCATTATGTACCATTTGCGTGAGTTCAAAGTTTGCTTGAATATCTTGAAACAACGATGGCGTAAGAAATCAAAGTCCAAAGAAGTCCAAAAATTCGTGAAAACAGAATCATGCAATAAAATTTGTAAATGGAGTAAAATATTTAAATTATAATTTGCATAAATTTTGATCAACTCATCGATCATTTAAGCACTCGAGTAAAGTGTTGTTCAATGTAGAACAAAGGAACGTAAGTTCGAAATGAAAATGCAAAATGGAGGAAACAGCTTTCCAGCGAGTGCGTATATCGTTAAACGACGAAGTGAGAAAGAAACTGGTGTAAATTATTCAAGAATATACGTGGGTTTCTACGTCACGTTTGCCGTCGACGTCACGACGCCCCGGCGCTCTCGGTTTCGCGATTCCATTCATGAAATCCTAGAAATCTACGTAATACCGACCAAAACCGATGACATCAGATGATAGATAAAGAAGTAACTGAAAATATCTCCTGTTTATCTTTCGGTTCGCTATTTTCATCCAGTTAGTTTATATGTTTTCTTAGTGATCTTTCCGTTAGAGATTCTATGCGTCCGCACGTAATAATGTCTCTCGTCGTGTTTCATGTACTCGAACAAACGTTATTTCCACGTTGGAATGTCAACCTCCCCCTATTTCCCCTTTCCTCTTTTTTCCTTTTCTTTCATTTTTCTCTTCTCGCAACGTGACAATCTAAAAATTCTCATTCGCGTTGCGGAGTGTTTGCTTTAAAATACCTTGTCCGCGTAAACACTCGGAAACATACGATACACAATACACATTTCATAAGCAACCAAAGTTAGTGTGTCAGTTGCAAAAATTGTTAAATACAGGAATATCAATCGCCTACGTATTCGTGTATTTACGCTTTTCTAAAAAAACTCGAATAAAAAAGATTGCAGCAAAGAAACTTTGAAGACTTCTTCAACAAGTTTCTCGAAACCTTTCTCGAGCAAACTTCAAGCTGTTTTCTGTTTAGCATCACACAAGATTCTGCTTTCTTTTAAGCTGTGCAAAGAACGATTTCCTTTTTGCATGGCCCAATGTCCGTCTTTCAACGATTGATCTTAACAAAAGTAAATATCTAATCAAATAATAATTTGTCTAATTTGAGTGATCGCTGACTCGGATACACCGCAAATTAATCTATTTCCTACTCATTGTCTACGCGGACTCGTGAAAGTCTCAAGTGCCACGATTACGAGCAAAAGTAACGAAACCTTAGAAAGCAACGTAGGCTGACTTTCACTGTGTTCGTCGAGGATTTAAAACGAAATACACATCGGCTAAAGATAGCCGGGACGCGATACAAAGTTAGATGCAATTGGAGTGGTTTCAATTATGTACACAATCTTAGACACAAAGCTCGATTTCGATGCGTCTTTCATGATCTCCTAGGAAAAAGAATATCAAACATTTTCAGATAAATTTAAAGGAGTCTCAGAATATACCTGCTAACCGAGGGTTAATAATACAATGTTCAAATTCATTTTCAAGCATTTTCCTGTGAATCTCGAATTTCGCGTGGCATCGTCGCGTTAACCAGCCGTGTGTCGATGTATCATCGAGCAAGGTCGGCTTGCGTAAAAATGCTGTCGGCGACGGTAGCCGGCAGATTCCGTTCGCATCGGTAGAGGCCGATCGGTCCCCAGGTACACCTAAGGCCAGGAATATCCTCGTCGACGCCCCCGCCGTGCCAGAATCAAGGGGACACTATGCTAACCTCGAGTGCACTGGCCAAACCGCGAACTCATCCCAGAAATATGAGCGAACAACATTATTATTAGATTACGTTTTCGCCGCTAGCCTGGAGTCGTGCATCTCGAATGACGACTCCGGGGACAGCTCGCTTCTTTATTTCGGTGATTCCCGTGCCCGAGAATCACACCGCCGATAAAAATAAGCACAGAAAGACGCGTAGGAATCTGATGTTGCAGAGGGCAGAGTATAACATCTCGGTTGCTAGAGAAATCAACTTTTGAAAAATCAACTTTTGTCACCCAACTTATTCTGTATACCAGATCCAATTTGACAGAAGTGGTTTTAATTCATTTTAAAATAAATAAATGGCTGTATTCGAACTTCAATCCGATTTTGTATCTCTTTTGTGAAAAATAAAAAGGCAAGATTGAAAGAGTAGCAACATGGAAGGTTCATCGCGTGAACCTATTCAGAGGGGGTAACGTATCCTGTTCCTCTGCTTGAAATTCGTCGCCAGATGTTACAAGCCTCGTGGAAGATCGTCGAAGAGGCCGCCAGAGATACGATGCCACGATAAGATCAATCGGGATGTTCTTGACTCGGCTCGAGAGCATTGGCTTCTTCCCTTTTGTTTTTGCTGCTGTTCGCTCGTTAATCGATCCGGCGATTAGCTCGTCATTACATCGCCATCTCGTTCGTGACTACGCCTTACGCGAAACATGATTACCATTTGTAAAGTCGTGTTAAAATTTTTTCATATTTTAATTGCAGCCACTTTGAAATAAGACACAACTTCGGTCAATTTAGTTAAATATTTCGTTAACGTTGAACTGCTAGAAAATAAAATGTTCCCTTGAAACTCTCATAGATTAATGTTCTTTTTCTATGCTACGTGCTCAGCGTCTGCTCTTCGCAGCATCATTAAAAATTTACAGCTCATAAAAACATCTCGCCAACATGTTTGCTGCAATCTTTAATAGTATGCTTTCGTTTCTACTGTCTGTAATACCAGCACTTGACTGTTCCATCGATAGAATCATGCTTTTCTTCAGCAACCACATATCTACGTTTGTTCGTTCACTTTAACTTCGACTTGTATTAAATTACCTTCAACTTGGTCGACCTGTTCTCCTTTTCCTTTTACGTCAAAGTAATACACATGAAATTTAGTGGTAGTACTCACGTTTCGATGCGCCGGTGCACGAGCCACCCTCTCTGAAGATCCTCGAAGTAGTTCAGCAAGGAGTTCCGGACTTGGTCCCGGAAGACCTTCGAGTTTGCTCGGGCTGGAAGTGGTTCTATGATGGCAGGGCGTGGGCGGTTCCGAACTGCTATTATTCGAACTTGTGTTGTACGAGAGGTTCGCGGAAACTTTTCTACGCGGACGAAGACCTTCCTCGAGAGCGATATCAGTGGTTCGCGGTTTCGCCATTTCAGCCTCGAGCATTTGTCCGTAAGGACCTCGTAATGGTCTTTTGCTGTATCTAAACAAACAAAGATAAAGTTCGTCATTAATTTTAATATCTTTAATGAAAAAGAAGAAATTTTATCAGCCCTTGAACGAGATTCAAACTAACAAAATATATATTTAACCTGAAGTTAAATATAATTTTTCTATCAAAGAAACATTGAATTAAGTTTGAAGCTATCTCCATCCATCGTGGGAGGGTTAAGAGCAGGAAATGTAAATTGAATGAAATCTATCATACAAAGAGGATACTCCAGAACCACGCGTATGGTCTCTCACGTCCTCTCCTCTTAAATCGTATCCGTAGGCAGACGCTTTGGGTCTATTTGCATTCTATTCCGATATATCAACGCTGGTTCTCGCATTACCTTCTAGGCGTGTGGCCCTCGCAGTCAGAGAGGTCGCTGGGCGTCGCAGGTGGCTCGTCTCTTTCCTCGCTGCTCTGAGCTGACAGCTTGTTCCGGTCGCTGTCCAATGGCTCCGGCCATTGAGTTATGTACACACCCTTTCTTCTTTTGCTGGTATCGCCACGATACCTTCGCGTTTTACCCGACGGAGAGGATGACTCCGAGGGTGCTTCGCTCGCTGTCTCGCTACCCTCCATCGTTTGGCTAAGTCGTGGCTCCTCAGGTGGTGGTGTTATTATCACTTCGTGTGGCTCCATTCTGTTTTCTACGAGAAACAATAGCGTTGTCTAAACATTTTGATCATTGCACACTTCGGAGAAATATTTTTAAGGATATTAGAGAGCAAATTTAATTGCCAACATTTTATTTCACCTCACCCATTTAATTTATAGCACTCCTCTCAGTGTGTTGTTTTTTCACCGAAGATCGAAAAGCAGTTACAGTCACAGATTAACAGATCGAGGATTTATTGTGATTAGCGAACCTCCAGACGCGAATGAACGAGCGTGAAGTCATCAATGAAGATGGTTAACGCTCGATGACGCTGAAATTTCTATTTCAACCCTGGCACAGAACGTTCCAAAAATAGTGACACGCGAAATAAAGTGGAAACACGGGTGCACCTTTGTACCCGGTACTCCTTGTCAATGCACCAAAAATAGTTCTTCCTTTCCCTACCCTTCTTCGCACCGGTCTAGGGTGGACAGGCGAAATTATTTGGCCGCTCCTCCGCTTCGATTCCACGCTAATACATCACCGAGGCTAGCTGACGTTCAACGAGCGATTCCTAATCCTAGCCAGTCGATGCTTCGATAAACGTGTCAACGGAATATCCGATAATTAAGAGGTCGTTGAATCTTTTGACCGCGCAGCAATACGCGTACGTTAAGATGCAAAAACCGATAAGCGGACACGCGTCGAACGTGGGTCGAGACGAGAAAGGAGGACGCGGAAGGCGCGATTCTGGCACCGGCTATGTCATTAAATTGAGATTACAAGCTGACGAGGATGTCGGAGTTTGTGACATTATGTTGCCAATTTCTAACGACGACGAAATCAGCCAAATAACAGACGGTCAATACAGAGAAAGAACCAGTCAGCTGTTTCCGGATCGTGTTCGAGAGATTATTTCTTCTTGAAACTTTCTGTTCGTTTCATTTTATGAAGACGTATCGTAATGTCGAAAGCTTCCTCTGTTAAACCATTTCTAAAATCTACTTCTGTGCTTAATGAGGAGGAATATTACTCATAGAAAACTTTTTTTTTTACAAATTTCTTCCCTTCTTCTTTGCGAAACGCGTAGTTATTTCTAACCAGACGTATTCAAGAATACTTGTTTGTCAGTTTCCGAACACTTTAAGATTAGGAATGATGTCTAACGTTTAACGTAATAGCTTTTTTTCGGACGTTTGCAACTAGACAGCGGGAAGAAAGAAGGTTTATTTTTATACACAGCTTTAGGTATACATTTCTCGGAAGGCATTTGACCTAGAAATTTGAAATGTGCGTTGTAAATTCGCAACTAATATAAAATTCTTATTATTTATTATTCATAATATTCTCCTGCACCAATAAAAAGTTACTCGAACGAGTTTAGTTGTAACGTGGAAAAGGATGTAACAGTACTTCTTTGGAGAATGAAATACCGTGCAAACAATAACTCACCTTTTTGCACGGTTTCCTCGATGGACGAGTTTTCCACGAGCGGGAAAACAGGCTCGGACATAACCATCTCGTTCGGAGACACGTCAGCTTGCACCAGATCAACTCTCGGCTCGTTGATCTCAGGAACCGGTGGTTCTGGGCTCGTGAGAGCACTGGAAGTCGCCAGACTGTCGGAACCATCGCTTCGCGGTCGGATCTCCTCGACGTTTCCGGTTTGAGGTACGCCCAGTCCTTCCGCCGAACCGACAGCACTGTCGACGCTGGGCGTCGACGTTCGCGGACTTTGACGATTGGGACTATTTTGCGGCGTCGAGACGACTGGACTGACGTCTCCTCGTCTTCTGGGCAACGTGCTCGCCCTGACATCCTTGCTCTCGTTGCGATTCGACGTGGCTATTGGTTGTGCCTTCTGTCGATTGACTGAAAAGAGAATTATATAATAATTGAGATTCTGACAATTATTCAAAATTGTCAGGTTTAATTATTTAAAATTCTGCACTCCTGCACTCCTTAATATTTGCATTACGATTGTTCGTACCATACATCGATAGAAAATTAAACAACAGACACTGTAATCAAGAAGGTGTATATTTATTTTCCTAAGAGTTTCCAGCTACTAGAAACAGTATAAAAGTCGATCCTATTTTTTATTATATACAAACCCCGACGTATAAAATAAAGGAAGATCTAGTGTCGTGGAAATAAGTACCATCTCTTATCAAAATTGCAATCAAAATTATCTTCGCTATGAAGATATTTTATTTATCAATTTATCAATTATCATATTTTCTGACCAAGATCTGTACACGTTTCTCAACGCAAAAAAAATGAGATCAAAAATAAACTTCCGTGAAATCTATCGTTTCCAAACATTTCCCATCACGTTGAATTTTTAATCGAACTGCCTATCAAGCAGGGAATACCACGAAACGTAGAAAGAAAATACACATTCGCGGGTTCCTGTGTTCCCGGAGAAATGGACGTCAACGATTTTTAATAGCAGCTCGAGCGTTCTTTGGACGAGGCCATTGCTAGAACGAGACACGTAGAGAAAGAGAGAGCAAGTTCTAATTACCTCCTCGAGTGTCAGGTAAGTTTGGCAACCCTCTCAGCACGAGGAGGTGGACCATTCCAATAATAACAAACAGAGTGTACGAGTGAGAACGGGAACGAAAATCTCGGTGACGACTCGAGCCGACAGCCCGTCGACTTGGCCGAATTCCGACAAAGAGAGTGAACGATTAAGAGTGAACTTTGTCCCTTTATGTTCTTTTCCAATTTTTTTTTCAACCTTCCACAAGATTTTATAAAAAAATTTAGACTTCGATAAAGGGTAGGTGTGGTTTACTTTTGAGGGTGAAGTTTTAAAAATATTTACTGTAAAGCCTAGTTGATAAAGGATAATAGAATTTTTACCCTTCATATGACCGAAAATTTTGCAAGAAATTAGAGTTCCTCGCAAGAGCAGAATTCTCGTTTTAGTTTACGATAAGTGAAGAGAGCCAGAAATTCCTTGAAACAATCAACGGTCTGTTGATAATTACGACAGAGGCGTAGTAAATCATCAAGTACGATTATAATGAATTCCGCGTAACTCCGTCGTCTCTGTAATTATCCTCGCAATAATTAAACGCGTCAAATTAACCGCTATGTAAATTCACCCTTCGCGGTAAAACACACATTCGTTAATTTGGTTCACGGCTTAGAAATAGGAAGACTTTGCAACCGTATAAATATGAATGAAAGAAAAATTCTCTGAAAGCTACGAATGCATAATTATGCAATTAAGGGTGCACCATAAAGTAGGTGTCATTAACGTTACCATGTGCAGTATCGAGCACAGTAGGCTTCCCTGGGGAAAATCATTAATGGATGCCCAAACTGTAAAGGGTGAATATTTCAAAATAACTAAAAGATCATTTGGCCATCTTAAAATAATTATTAAATTTAACTTATCATAATTTTCGAAATGCATAGATATTCATAATCTCCTTATAACAAAATTTCTAATCATATCGTAAGATATTTCTACCTCAATTTCCTGTGTATCATTTCCATCAGGTTGATCATTGCTAGAGGTAACATGGTCATCAACCTCGTGATCACAATCACTATCATTGCAAATGATTCTTTCGATCATATTCAGATAAAGGAAATCCATTATCTTCAATGCTTTCTCCCGATCTCCTTTTTCCTTCTAAACGCCAATGGCATTCTCTGATGGTTAATGGTCGAGGATCCGTAGATAGCAGCTGTATTTCAGAAGATACCTAGTTACACGTCCTCGTAAACCGTCTTCCGAGCGTAAAAGGTGTCTCGCGAGAGATTTGTTGGCGCGTTAGCCGCGAAGCGTTTCCGGCTTGCGCCACGCACGCGATTCGTCGCGTTTCACGCCTTCGGCCTTGTTACACATTGAGAAATCAGCGTCCCCTTTCTCAGTTTTTTCTCTCTCTCTATGTATCTTCCTCTCTTCTCGTTTCACGGACACAATTTTGGCTCCTAAGCAACCGACTCGGTGAAAAAATACTCGAGTCTGGTGGAAATTACCGACGATATTTCTGTTAATCTTCGGGAAAGACTATGATCTGCCCGGCACTTTAATTGTCACATTGGAGGTAAAAGACGAAGCATAAATGCGACCTCTGAAGAAAAATCCAAAAATAATTTCCAAATAAGGACTTATTAATTCAGCCTTCGTCAAATAAAGATAGAATTAATGTCAGCTGAAAGACCTATATTTGTAAATGTACTTTATTTATCTTGTTGAATGCAACTCTGATTACACAACGGGAGGCGTAAAAATTTCGAGGTTGATATTAAAATTTGCAACAATCCGGTGAAACGTTCAAATCTAACATTACATTTTTCCTCTTCAAATCAAACAACCGCTTCGTGTTTGCGATGGTTTCAAAAATAATTGCTTGTATACATTTAAACCGGACGTACTGCATGTACAATGTTTATAACATCGATGTTGAAAATGTAGCATACCTCTGTAATGTATCAATCCTTTTTCGCTAAATATTTTTAGATTTTTTAAAGCAAATGTTTCTATTCAACTTAACACCGCTTTATCGAGCCTGATTCACGCATAAAAATACCTTGCTCTGCGTTATTATCCTTGCTTCTACTCCAAAAGCCCTTCGTAGCTCAAATAATGTTTACAGAACTGGTCTATTTCCATCTATGCACCATCCACTCACCCTCTAATTCTTTCTATTCTCTTTCATCCATCTCCGATAAATAATTTTATTTCTTATAACGAAAATTCCCAACTTGACATCAAAGTAGCTAAATGGGTGATCGTGTATCTTCCGCCTCAGGTGGGGCTGGATAAATTAAATAATTACCCAAGGAACACAATAAGATTATTCAGGCCAGGGCCATAAAATGCATTATCTTTAAGGTCGTTTCTCGATACGAACTCCACGGAAAGAGGTTCTCTAATATCTCTCTTATTTCTACTCCTTTATTATGAAATCGAAGCTGCTCGCTCGGTATGTAGTTCAGGGTTGTAACTATACACCTAGTCGGAAAGTCAATGTTACGTGGTCGTTTAAACGCGGAATTGAAGAATCTGTAATCCCTAGAAACGATCGTTATTTTCCATGTCGCATAAACTACGAAGGGCTATACGGTTTCCTCTCCGATAGAACATACTCTACCCAACTTGCGTCCTCGATTCTATCTTACGACAGAAGAAAAAGTAGTTTCGCGAAGAGAGATAAATCGCGAAAACGGGCTTACGGATTGATCGACGTGTTCAAACTTTCGAGTTGGAGAAGCATTTGATACCCTCGAAAATTATTGGACTGGAATTCGCCAACGAAACACCGTCTGCTTTTATGTATCGAATTCAGGACGAGTATGAAACTTAGAAAGCAGACTCTCGAAGACGAGAGGACCGAGACAGTGGAGGAATTGAAAAGAAAAACAGCTTCGCAATCGTTTCTAAATAACGCCGAAAAATCTCGCGAGATGTTGCTTTCACGGTTTAGATTGTCCCTATCCATAGTTATACAAACCGACACCTACATGAATGTAATAATAGACATAATGGGTAGTGTTTATTTGGCGAACCGCCATACCGCCAGAGTCTGCATTCTCGTGGACGAGACTTTACCACTGGCCAATATTTACAAGTACACGACGACCGTATACAAATCATATAATTAATTGACAATGTTTTTCCTTCCAAATTTCCGCGTTTGAGAGACACGCGGATTATTTATCGCGGTCTTATTATGCAACAACCCTTGGAAATCTATACTGTTTTCTTGAACCCTCGAATACTGGTGGATGTGTCAATCATGACGTGCATAGATTAAAATTAGGCATCTAAATTTTCAAATAAAAGTCTATCATGTGTTGGAAAAATAATATTTAAATATAAGAAATTAAAAATACTTTCCAAGTTATTCGATTACGTTTAATTTGTGGTATTAGGGGAAAATGTTTTTCTTCGAATCTAACGAATTGCATTAAGGATCGAGGAGGAAGCAAAGCACTACCTTTTACGGGGAGTGACTAGTAGAACCAGTTCCGAGCAGGTGAAGACCCGAAAAGATAAACACGGAAACAAAGTACATACAATGAATGCTTCGGAGTAACTGTTCTTACGGTCGCTTCTGCTCCCAATGCTACGCCCATTCAAATGCCCCCTAGATTCTACCGTTTCCTTTCGATTATAATCATACGCGACGATGGATACGATAATTGCATACCAAATTAGCAAATGCATCGTAACTGTAAATCAATGGTTGCCTGGATGCGGCTTCCTCATTGCAAATGGGACTAGAGACGAATCATGCGAAGTCAAAGGTGTCCTAATGCCTATACATTATTGCACGCTTGTTAAATATGTAATACGATGTCTATTAATTATAATTATTGAAGATTATTTAATACAAGTATTGGTCTTTTGATGGTATTAAATGTTTGTACTACGTAGATCGAATTTAATAGAAAATACTTGGACTTCAGTGAATGCAGCTTTGATCTTTAACCAAATTTGTGCAACAAATTCGTGGAATAAACGTAATCTTCAGCAATGCGAGGGAACAGAATGCTGGGAAACCAAATTTACATAGAATGATGTATTTCTGATGAAACGTGGATTTGTTTCATTAGTGAGAGTGGTTAAAAGCTGGTCAAATTTACACAGAAAGTTCTGTTTCACATTGCAAGCTCAAAATGCATATCACTGTGAACAAACAATACATGCAAGAGCTGCTTTTCATCACCAACTGAGTGCATACAGAAAACTGCACTTCAAACTAAATGCATGTAATAACATAATCTCCTGTGTGCTTTCCGAGAAAATTATTTGGAGAACATGTATATCTTCTAATCCTCTGATGATTATTTTTCCAATTGTACCTACTCAAATCCTTAAATGGAGCTTTATGGAAAAAAGGAATAAATGATAATAATAATAATATTTGAAAAATGTTCAAGGTCCGATTACCTTGATTGAAATCCACCTGGCCGAAGGAAGCGCTTCTGAATGGAGCCCCACCTCTGTGAAAAGTAAGAAGAGATCCTCTTGGTTCCAATTTGGTAACCGCGTCTCTGGCTTCAGCTTCGCTTCCGGCTCCGGATGTAGCGTTCAAATTGTCACACAAGTCGTCCACACACGTACCACTATCCACCACGGAATCACTGTACTGTCTGAGATGTTTCGTCGCATCCGCACTTACGTTCAGTTCGTGTTTGATGTCACTTACGTCACCACTGTTCCTATCGTGTTGCTTAGCCGACCGCGAGGATTTCCTCGAGTCGGCACACGGCTTCCTGCACGCATCGTTGTTACCCGGCTCACTCAAACACTCGTCACCCACACTGTCACTTCGGCCAATCGTCTTCAGGTGGTGCTGTTGCTGAGGGTGCTGATTGCTGAGACTGTGACTACTGCCCTCGCTGTACGTGTAGCTTCGGGAGGAAGGTCGACCATCGCAACGACCGCATCCTTGATTCGTTGTCTGAGAAAATATTATAAATTTTTCATTTTTATCTAGGTCCATATAGGACGCCAGAAACCATCACTGTCATAAGGACGTCGACCTCAGTTAAATTGATTCAAAGTAACCAAACACTGAAAAATAAATTGTTTACCTGTGGATGATTCTGCGAAGGTGGTTGATACCCACTCGGTGGTGGAGAGGAAGCTTGAATTCTGGAAGGTCTTCTGGGTGGTGGTACCGGTGCTGGTCCCTTGAGTTTTTCAGTGAGCTCTCGAAGGCGCTCGGCCTTATCGCTCCGGGGGCCGGAAGAGGACTTCTTGCCACTTCCTCCTCCGCCCCCGCTCCACCGGAACCTGTGCAAACGGTCCACCGCTATCACTGCTGGTTCCTAAACAATAAAAATCCCATCCCCATCAGAGTCTCATCGTCGATGTTCATTTTCTTAGAACACATAAAATCGTCTGGAAGTAGCATCTACTTTTAACTTCAGCCTTCTAGTTTCTTTTTTCATATACTCTTTAGAATCGTGCACTTGTGACCAGACCAATTTTTGGATCGACCGTGGTGCGCAGCGTGCGCTGCCTCGTGCCTGCCGCGAGGGAAAAGACAGATGACGACCAAAATAGAATATCGTTCTTCGACTAGACACCTACGTATCGTATGTACGAGTTTTCGATTCTCTAGACCCACCACTTTTCTATAGTAAGCTATTCCTACTTCCGTTAGAAATTCGATCGACAGAAATTAACAGGTGACAGAAACAATTGGACCAAGACAGAATCGTTCTTACCGCTTGGGAATTGATGCAATGCCTCGTCCAAGGGAACTTGAGAATTGTCAAATTCAGTTTTCTTGATTTATCGTCGCCATCTCCAGTAATGTTTTCGAGATAGCATAAAGAGTGTGCATTCAACGAATCGACGTAGACAGCATAGAGATTGACGTAAGTAAATAGTCAGATGGAAATTGTTGAGCTCCCCTCGACAGAACGATCGTTTAAATCAGTGTCCACGAAACCTTTCACCTTGAAGTTCCATATCTCCAGCCATTAAAAATACGACGTCCCTACCACCACCTTGTGAGCCACCTCTCGAGCTTTGACACAAAGCGTCCCAGGTCGAAGACACTTCGTCCCAAATTCCTACGAACCAGCTCACTCTTACGAAATCACAACAGTTTTTCTACGGCCTGCGAGGCATTCCTCCATCCACGTATCACCAAAAATATCTTCCAGAAAGAACTCGATTGCTCAGATGAATTCCATCGGAACCGACTCGCATCAAAGTCTACGGTGAACTCTGTTTCCATAGATCGATCATTACCGATTCACGATCGATCTACGCGAGAAAACGTTCGAACCGATCGGACCAACCGCATCGAACGACAACCGACGTGAAAAGCGGACGATCCCGCGGAACGTTCGAAAATACCTGCAGCTTCAGCGTCTGATGCTTGGTCCACTGTGCTAGCTGCCGCGGCACCGAGACGGACTGCAGCGTCGGCACGGCGGTGGATACGTTGAACGACGTCGAAGAGGATGGCGACGAAGACGACGGTACCGCCGCCGTTAGAGCTGCGGACGATTGTGCTTGATGGTGCTGGCCAGTGCTGTTCCCCACCGACGATGTTTGCAGCATCCCTCGGTTATTATTAGAGTTCACCAACGGTTGCGCCGACGTCGTTGGCGTCGTCAGCGTCACCGGCTGTTCCACGCCGACAACGCGGCTGTTCGAAGACGTGGGAGGCCCAGGAAAAGGAGCCTGTCCACCTACTCCTCCACCGCCACCTCCAACTCCACCTACACCTCCTCCTCCGCCGGCACCGTACGTCGACGACGACGACGTCGTCGTCGTCGTGCTCGACCCTGTCGACCCTGGCGGTATCCTGGGCAATGGCAAACGCGAACGTGGACCTATGCAACAGCAGTCTGCGATGCTCGAGCTGAGTTCTAGTGCTGCATTTTCCGGATACCTCTCCGTCAGTCTCTCCCGAGAGTCGCTCTCTCGTGAACTCCTCTTTCGTCGTCTCTCCTGGGACTCTTCCCGTGAGTTCGATGGCGGCAGGCTCTCCTGAAAGGGAATCATTCGTGGATGTGTTTTTAAAGGCATTGGAGAATTTCGTGGTGTCAGACTTTTCTTTGATAAGGGAAAATGTGAAAGAAGAAATGTCCCGCCATCTTCAGGAGTGTGGTTAAGTTCTTCCTAAGTTCTCCCGCGATTTTCCTAAGACCGAAGGCAAATGGCAGGAAGACTATGTTGCACCGGAGTGTACATTTGATGATTTGGTATTAATCGGTTAATTTTATTGGAAACGCGTGACAAGCTTATCGAAAAATTGCTGAATTTTTAAAACGACACGTTAAATTTTCTCCGATCAGCAAGAAATTTTAAACTTTACACCTGTATACATGATGTTATAATGAAATAGAAGTCTTAATTTGATTGCAAATATACACTTTTATAAGACACATATCTTTTGCATAAATTTCCAATTCTTAATGATAATAATTAGTTATTTACAATCGAGTACTCCCGTTACGATCATTTTATAACTGGAATAGAAACTGTAATTTCTAGTGGTGATCTAATACGATCATTCTAAATATTTGATTTCCAATTTATAGCCGGCAATACAGAAAGGAATGACCTCTTACTTATGTAGATCAGGGTACACGGTTACGCTCTCTTGTTTAATACGGAGTACGAAAGCAGCGGAACAAATGAGACCGTAAAGTCTATGAAGTGGCTTCGCATATAAAGAGACTCAAAGGCTACTTATGCGATACCGCATAAAACGAAACGTAGGAAGTAGAACCTGCCTCTGCAAGGTAATTTCACCTTGTCCCCGTCACGTTCAAAGAACACCTAATTTAGATTTTTTTCCTTGCAAATCACACCTTTACGTACCTTCAACCGTACGAAAATTATATGAAAAGAAATTATTTTATGAATCATATTTCAAATTAATCGTCTGAAAACGAGAACACGTTATTAATAGCCATTAATGCGGTCTCTTTGATACCAAAAGCCAGAGAGCTTGTTCCATCAAAACTGTCTAGAATTCTAGAATGTCGACGCCACTCCATAATCGTTATTCCCATCGTTTTATGCGATTCAAATGGTACGTGTGCAAGAACGATTGTCGCAAAGAGGATCCTAGAGGAGACAATAGCATTGAGGTAAGGTGATGCTGTTTCTTCCCACGAGCGAACTGAAGATAAACTCCTCTGAAATAGATCTCCGACTCTTGTGTATGCAACACTGGCTACGAAGGATATGCTGGAAAGTAGAACCATCTAATCTCCTTTCTCGAAATCCTACCGAGATAGCCAGATGTATACATATATACATACGCTCTGAAACGTCTGTGTCGATCTTCATTCTGACATTTTACGTTCCGAGTCTTGAGAACACGATACCAGGCAGAAATGTAAAAAAAGAAAGAAAGAGAACGTGAAAGATAACGAAATACCTGTGCCCGGTATGGTAATAATTTCACGAGAGAACAGTATTTACAATGGCTTGAATATTCGAGCCGAGTCAAACAGCTGAACATACCGTGTAGCTAGAAAGGATCTCAATTTATTCTAGCTCTTTGTTTAAACTCGGATTTTCTACTCCAGATATTGGAGTAACGTGGAATTTGAAAAATTTCTGCACTCGTGTAACATTTTTCTTATCGTTAAAGTAAATAAAGGAGATGACTTTTGGTCGGAGTGGTGCAATAAATTTTTCGATGAACATTGCCTAGATTTGACCATATCAAATTATTTGATCTGAGAATTCTGATTCCGAACAGGTAAAGAAATAAATTTCCCCAGAAAACAGCATAAGCGGGCAAAGAATGCGAAGGATCGAAGCTCAAAGACGTTCTCGGCATGGCTAAAATCAGCTTACGAGTCGTCGGATCATCGGCTTCCGATCAACCGAGGCGTGTGCAGTGATTTGTCGCGATCGAAGGACTTGGCAGAGATTCACGTCGCGGCTGCGTGTGTGCTCGTGTGATGTCAACGTGAATATTATTCCGACCGAACGAGGACGGATGGCGGGAAAAATAGGAAGAGGAAGAAAGAAGGATAAAAGGGAGATGCCTCAAAATCGGTTCGAGTCACTGACTGGTGGTATTCTATTTACGCGATCGACTCTATATTTAGGATTTTCGACGTCTTCATTTCGTCCGTGCAAAACCTCTTTTCTCTGTCGCGAATCCGTCGAAGGTCGTCAAGACAGCCAACTAATGAACGATGGATGTATCTTTAACGACTGTTCCGTTCAATGATAAAGTTGCCCCTGGCAAGAGCACCCGTAAAATTTCAAGCATTTCGTTAATCGTGTCGAAGAGGCTTGCGAAACTCTCGCGAGTTATATGCCCGAGTGAAAGTGCAGTTTCAGAGATGCAGTTCTTGAAACAAGACTCGTGTAAATGTTTAGATATCCTTTCTTTTGTACGTCGTTGTTGAAGAACTCATTGTGACATGTGTAAATGTTACGTTCAATCATTCTGCAATGTTGAAGTAATAGGAATATATTCAGGAAAAGAAACAGGTAAATATCTGGTATCCCTGCAGTTTGTCTGTGTGTTATTTCGTGATGGCCATTCTATAAGTGGTTTAAATGTTAGAATAAATTACCTGGGAAAGTCTGAGACCGTATCTGGTGCCACCAAGAACCACGTATCCACCGCCGACATTTCCTCCAGTCATGGCTCTTGCTGCACCCCCGAGCCATCCTCCAAATCCGCTTCCCCCTGCCTTCTCCGATCCTCCACCCCCGTCTCCACCGACGCGGGGCATTCTTCATCCTCCCTTCACCCTTGAAAAAATCACAGAAAAATATCAGGTGCTTGTTTGCCACTTCCTTTCCCTCAATCGACAGCAGCAAGCACCTCGTTATTTCAATATCGAGTTTGTCCTGGCATGAATTTTATTATGGTGGTTTTCCGCCGGTGCTTTATGAAGTTATCGGCCGCTGTATGACGTAAAGTAAACGGTAAGTGTATTTTGAGTAAATACGCCGGCAGAATTTCACGTTCGATTCGACGGAATATAAATTTTGAATATAAATTCGAACGATATGCAAAACTTTTGTTTTGTCGTGATTTATTGGAATTGCATTAGGATATTTGGAAGATTCGTAGCGAAATTTAATTACAATCAAATTATCTTGTAATTACGCACAGGATTTCAAGAATTTTTCAAAGATTCGATATCAAAAATTATCACGAACACAGCAAATTTTCCAAACCCACTAATTTCAATTTTCTCAGTTAATAACATTGCGGAATTACTCTTTCATATTTACAAAATATTGTACAATGTTTTTGAAACACAAAATGACATCATAAACATATGACAAAATGTCATTTCTTCTTTTTTTTTTTGATATGATAACATATCATTAAATACTGTGTAATCAATTTTCACTTTTTTCTTCCAGTACACTTAACAATACACAAACAAATTTAAGTATTTAATGTCCACAATGGTACGTTTAAGGATTCATTGAATCAAAGCCGGTTTTCTCACAGATTCTGCTGAATCACAGTGCAATCTTAAAGCTTTCAACGGCGCCACAACGTACGCACGTTCGTAATACGTTTTCGAGTGATTTTAATGAAACTTTCCCGCGATTCCTCGGAAATTTCATTCAACGACGACGATGCACTGTAAATAAATAAAATCGTTCGTAACAGTTGTCAGGGAATGCGCATACGTTTGCAGGAATTCGAGAAGCACGATCGTGCGTGCGTGAATGCGTGCGTGACTCTGCGTAAGCAAAACAGTTTAATCAAATTCATTCTTATTACGAAAAATCGATGAAAACGGACTCCTCCCAACAAAAGTCGACAATAATATTATCTACATACACTGCATGGTATAAGATTGCTTTATTTTATTAACGAATCAACAAGAATGAAGACTCGTAAGAATTTTCCTAATTTTGACACTTCGTCTATTCGTCATTTGTACACTCAGAGAGCAAGAATTTTTTCATATAAGGGCAACCAATATGAAGTTCAAATGCGACTGGAATAATATACGGTAAATGTCAATCGGAAATTGACGTCATCGTACCGTTACATCCGATTTAGGTGCTACTCACTGAATCTGTACGAAAAAGGAACTCAATTGCCTTTACCAAAAGCAAAAGTTCATTTAACCCAAGTGAAACCAATAAACGACCATTATGCACCGATAAAATAAATAGATCTATAAAACAGTAGGCTGGTTTTGTATACGTAAAATATATTATATTTCCGGTTGCAATAACAAAAATTTGGTGGAAATTCGCGCATCAATAAGCTACACAAATATTATGCCCTTGCATAAAATATTTGCTATGAATTTATTATTACCAGGAAAACAAACACAACGATTCGATCGAGAACGTATTAATCATGGATCACCGGAAATTGCTGACGATAATTATGATTTGGTCATCGCTGAACACATAGCCCTTAAATAAATTGCAAACTAGATGATCCTATAATACGAGCCTGTAATGCAATTTTAAATTACTTCCCACACTAATTGCAAATCTTTTAAAACCCGACTTCCATCAACCCAATATCGAAATTCAGGCTATGGTTGCAAATATCACGGGGTTATAAATACTCGTACCTGTATGTCTTTTCTATTTCCAAGTGATGAAGGCTAACATATATCGGACGTTAAAATGGTTCGTGCGTGTTCTCGGTAAAGAGAGGCATTAAGAGTCCATCATTTATCACAAAATAATAATAGGGATTACAAATCGTTCGTCTTCGATACGGTACTTGTTTGGCAAGAATATCAGCTGGCTCGTATATAAAACGTCACGTTGCAAAGCATTGTTTTCGGACGTTGAATTACGACATTTTATTACTACCAAAACAACGATAACCATATCGTTCAATCATGTTAATTCCGACCAGAGAAAAAAGATAGCCCGATGCGAACCCTTAGATTTATAGGACGATCAAAATTATTCGCTTTCATTATTTGTGTGTGCGCGCGCGCGAAAAGAAAAGGAAAAAAAAAGGAAACGAGAAAAATAACGTTCTTTTTTCGCGTATGCAAATTACACTTCGAGCTGGACGCGCACGGTGTAGAATTTATGAACGGCCGCGGAACAGGTTGGGATTAACGAGAAATATTATTTCGATGCACCGTAAATCCTAGCGTGGCTATTCGATTTTCATCTAATGTGTTTTCTGTCAGATAGCAGTGATCGAGTGACATTCAATTCCCGGAGTGAGTTATTTCGTCGAACCACGAGCATCGGTGTTCACGATAACGGATGTTGAACTCGATTCCGACCGAGCCACGATAAGATTTGCGATGAATGAAATTACGGCTTCGTTATTACACCAGCGCCGATTTATGAAGCTCGAGAGATTCTGAAAATGTTCTTTGATTAGGAACACTGGCAGATAACGCAAACGATTCGGTGCTGATCATACTAGGATCTTCATCAGCCAAATTAATTAATAAAAATATTTGACTAATAAAATATCAAAATTTAAAAAATTTTTTTTAATTCCCTATTGATTTTACGTTAAATTTGCAAGCTTTTCAAAGTGTTTCTTCGAAGATGCAAATATCGTGAACGGGTGTTCATTGTGAAGCGATTCGCGTCGATATACAGTGCTCAGAAGAAAATGGTCGATCGAACCACGGAAAGCGGCTTCTCTTTCACACTGCCGAGTCCAATTGGCCAGAACGAATTGAACTTGTGCCAGGGTCGTGGCAAGGTGAATAAAAAGAAGGAGAAGATACGAAAGAGACGGCTGGTGTGCGACAGGATACTCTCCCGAGGGCGTTTTCTTTCGCTTTCTTTTCGTTCTTCGAACCGACAACCGCGATATTCTCAAATTCCACGACGCCTTGTTCCAAGAAATTTTCATCCTGCTTTATGTCGGCACGTGCCATCGGGATCGCAAGACAGGCCGCGAATTAATTCGATTCAGAATGCGACGCCACGGCGCGGAATTTCGAATGCGTCGTGAACCGAGTAAGAGGAACGGAAAGGGGGTTGACTTTCCTCCTCGTTCGCAACGTAAACCCGTTCCTCCCACGCGGCTGGGAATGGAAATTATGGGGTCAAGATTATTGATGTCGAATTGAAACATCGAACCAAAGAATCCCGTGAATTGATTCGGAACGCCCAGTAGGTTCAAATCCCTCGGTTCGCTAACCAGTCCGGTTAGCAGAATCACGTGAAAAAATAAAAATTCTATAATGGTGATTAATTTTATAAATTTAATTTAAAATTGAAAGAAGCTTCCAATATGAAACCTTGGTGCAAATGGTAAGTATTCCCTGTAACGAGGATTCCGAAGATTTAATTTTTCTCTTTTTTTTTTTTTTTCATGAAGAAAATTTCATAAAATTGTTAGAATGGTCTCTAAAATATTCGCTAGATTGATTCAATTCAGAATAGAGGTTCCCGCACGCAGGTGGCACTTTGGGTACACTCATTTATTGGCACCCTGCCTGCTGTGATATTCGTCGAGGAATCTGTACGTCGGATTCTGATGATTCAACGATCAAAAGGAGAAGTTCTACATACAATGAAACGACCTAGCATACGGAAAATATACGAAGAATTTTTAGGGACAACGAACGTGACGTAAATATCGAAGAAAGAGAAGAATCTTCGGTTTTATTGCGTCCATGATCTCAAAGGATCACGGAAAATGCATCGACGTCAGAATTTCGGATATAACAAGAGAGAAATTCATACAAGACGAAATTTAAAGGAAAACAATATTTGTTTGTGGAATATATTTGACGAACTCTATTGGGGATCAAATACTAACCAGACCGTTTCTATTCTCGATCAATTCGATTTTATAAAAAAAAGAAAAAATTACCGTCTCAAGACGGAGAGACAGTTTCGCGTCTAATTTTAATCCCCGATCTGTTGGAGAACCGTCATTCTTGGCACATGAAGGCACGATACGAATAAGGAAAGCGGCGACGAAAAAGAGGCAACCGCATTCCGTTCCTGCGACGTTATTTGCACGAGGGACGCAACGCGTTCTCGGTGCAAACAACCGATAAACATGCACGATGCTTTGTCATCGCAATGTGGCAGAAAGCGTCGTTGGGTTTATTTGCGAAACGATAAGCTGCTGCGACGCCACTCTCAACGCGCGCCCGCCACTCTTTCACCGATTCCTCGCTTTTTTTTCGGTCATGGACTTGAAAAGAATTTCACCTCTGGACGCTATATAACGATGAATATGGCGTGAATTTCAATTGCCTTTAAATGAGGCTTGTGTACCGGGTATGCTGGTGAAGAAACATTTAACCCTTTCGGAGCGATGAACCCATGTACAGAGTACAAAATGAATTCACTGTCAAAACCACCCCTATTAAATGTACTCCTTCTTTTCAAAATAAATCATTTTTTGGCAATTTTTTAAATGAGGTCTCCTTGGTCTTTCTAGGGTAAAACAGTATTAATTGCACTTTTACCTTTCCCGAGTACCGTTTTATCCATCGACTAAACAAATTACACCGGGTAGAAAGTGTAATTTTCTTTCCGTCATCTGCAGTTAACCAACGGACCTGAAAATGCGGGAAATTCCGCAATCCACGGATTACAGTGTTAAATCCCGTTTTATAGAATCTCGTTTCCAGTGTGTAGCTTCAATGGGAGCGTATATAATAGCTTCGTCGTTGAGGATAATAATTTATGAAGGAAAGTAGCGAGGGAGAGGAAAAATGTTTCGAGACAATCCAAGTTTATGGATGATAAGCGGCATCGAACGGGTTCCTTTTCTGCCCGATAACGATCGATGAACGAGGGAAAGGCACGCGAGTAAGACGCTTTATCTCGTCCTCGTGTTCATTGTTTATCATTGAACACAATTGCTCGGCTACGTGTGGAGTCGCGCGCAATGATCGCGCAGATGTTTCGGGACAATTAAAAGTGATTGACACGAAACTGCCTGATTCACGAATTGTCGTAGCGACAAATTAGGGCCGTATAAAAGACGAGGCAGGGGCAAGAGTGTCGCTCCTGAGAGGTCGAACAGTGTCCTCTATCTTTAGAAACGTTTCCCCGAAAAGAGAGTACAAAAGGGTTCGCGTTCCTCGATACATCCAAGGTGGTATCGGTTCGTTGAACATGCCATTCCCAAATTGCTTGTTATTTATGGTGAAATAACTCTGGGAATTGAATGAAAATTTTTTATGTCATCCTCCTTGGTCCTCGATAAATATAATGAACCCTTTGTGTGGGGTTCGAGTTAAATTGACCCAAAACGACAATCTAATATTTAATCAAAGAGTCCATGAGAACAATAATCTGATACACGAAATAAAATCTAGAAAATTTCTTCTGCAACGGGCTCTCACCGTGTAGAGAAGAGAAGAAACCCGTCTACGTTCCCCTACACACAAAAATTCCCGCTCAAGGAGAAACTAAACAAAGGAGCACAAGTCTATCCCGTGAGTTTCGCCGGCGAATCACAGAATCCATCATCGAGCTACCATCAGATCGATCACCCACGCACCAACGTGTCTGGAATGGTCGAAGACAGGCTGGTTCGCTTACCGATTAATCAAGAGAGCCGCATGTCGTGGCGACGAATCGAGCGAGGCGTACCCAGCGTCCCGCGACCCTGTCGCTGAGGATTCCTGCTCCCACAGCTCGTCGTAGATCTTGATGTCGCAGCAGCACCGGTACCCCGGTGATGTCCTCGAGGCCTCTGGCTCAAGGTCGCTTGGTCGAACGCGTTTTCTAGTCACGAGACACACGGAGCTCGAACGCGGGCGTGGCGTTCGCCAAAAACTTCGATCGAGCACTGGCACCGGCCACGAAACCAAACAACGGACCAGACTAGATCGGACGCGAGACGAGACGAGACCAGACGAGAGGAAAAGAGAACGAGCATCGAAGAAACGCGGCCGGTTCGCGGATCAGGAATATGATGCCACCTTGGTGAAAGCCTCCGCGAAGAAGAGGCTCCCTTGCCGCAACGAGTGCCGCTCCCGCTAAGCGGAAGATTATCTAAATAGACTCCGTGCTACCACGGAGAAAAGAGAGGGAGAACGGGACAGAGGGGAGAGAGGACCCGAAACGAGGTGGTATTTATACGTCGTGTCTTTTGGAGAGCCAGTGGAACCACGACCAGGAACATCCCTCTCCGCGGATGCCACACCAGGAGGGGAGACCGGATATTGTGCTGCTTTGATGTTTAGCTATGATGAACGATCTTTTTCTTTTTTTGGAGTGCACACTGGTCAGTTCGATGGAATTTTCGAGGCAAAATTCAGAGCAACACGTTTGAGATATCCATGATGGTTAAATTTTAACAGAATTTTAATTGTTAATTAGACGTTTGATTGTTTTATCACTTGATATATTATGGTAAATATAGAAAATGTTCCCTTTAACCGCGGTCGAAGTGGATTGAAGTAAGCTTTCGCAGGTGTACCGCAAGTAATTAATAGTGGTTCATTATTGGTTTAGAGGATCCACTCCTCGATCGTTGAAGAGAATGTCTAAATTTGGAGGAATTTCAACCGAGACTGTGGGGGCTTTTGAGGAATATTGAGTGGGTAATTGATGCATTAAATGGCAGAGTACCATCTCTTTTTCAGATTCATATAGAAGAGGAATTTGAAATAATTTTTAACGAGTGCTGAATAAAATATTGATAAAATATCAATGCAGACATTTTCATCAAATCAAACTGTTATACGCGAAGAAATACTTGTATGTCATGAAATTATGTCAGAAATTTAAGAAGGGATCAATATTTTATTAAATCATATATTCTCATAAGCATATCTGTACTCTAGTGATATGTATATTATTTTCACACATTCAACCACATTTCTGATTCCCTTTCACACTCGCGATAATCGTCGCAGAATACCGATGCAGTTTACTCGAGCAATAACCAGTAACCGAGGAGAATCACAATTATCCGTCCAATGAATAAATTCAACACCATGATACGAACCACGTATTCGTAATTGGTAGATCATTGAACGTTCACGTTCGAAGAAAGAGACGGTAACCTAAGTGACATAGCACTTCGATAAATTGATTCTCCATGCACGATTAAACATCACACTGTACTAATCATCGGCACGAAATAATTTTCTACAGAAGCAGACTTCCTTTTCCAATTTCCATTAAGCTAATACAATTCTCAATAGCTACAAATATCGAATATTCTTGATCACGAAAAGTGCACCATTCGGCCACGCGATATTTTTACGAGTTACAACCGTGGCTAAATGAAAAATACGAGCTACATGGACTGTTTCAAGAATTTGCTCGAGCTTGAGAAAATTTACTATCGATAATTGAGCATAGGTTGCTTTACGAAAGAATCGATGAAATCTTGCTCGAACGTTTCCGCACCTGTCTTAATACAGCTGCCAAAACTGATTGCTCGATCCGCCATGTGGAATTCCTTGCTCGATGGCGTAACAGCGAACACAATTATCGAAAAACACGACTTGTGGTATTCGTTAAGCTAACACCGGTAAATAATGTACACGCGAGAACGAAGGAATCCGATCTTATTTACGTCGTTTTGCATAGAAAGCGATTTTGGTGGATGACTTCCGACGCGGTACACTTGCTTTTTTAAAGAAAATGACGATATAGAAGAAGCAGGAATTCTCAAAATCATGGGAGTCCCTTCGCTACATTGTCTTTTTCCTAGGAATATCTGCGAGGAGGGGAGATCTAGGGGGAAGGGTGCGAACCACCATGTTCCCTGGCGAAGCCTATTTTCATCACGAGTGTACATTGCGAGAAGAAAAGAAATGTTTCACACCTACAAATTAAGTATACTAACTCCTAAAGTCATTAAATTAAGAAGAGAAAATACGTAAATTTTCACGTTTCCTTTTGCACCGAACAAACAAAATCCTTGTATGCATTCAACTTTGAGGAAAAGAATAGAAGTTTGCAAAGGATACTTGAAAAAACAATTCGTGAGCCAGCCACTTTCTCGTCTCTCCGTACGCGTTCTTTTATCACCCGGAGGATCAAGATTCGTCCTCGATTTTCGCGCGATTTATGTCCTGTGAAACGAGGATGAAAAAATCACGGCGCCCGTTACGGTTTGTCGTTTCGAGAGGACGTAATCGGTCAGATTGACGAGACGCGACGAAATCGTACGCACTCTTAACACAATAGCCGATTTCTTTCTACACCGGATGACGATCGACGCGTTACAGAGAGTAAAGGCTTCCGGCATTGCCGAGATTACCAGCGAACTTCAACTTTCACCGATCGATAAAAAATCGCGATCTTTTCCGCTCGAACAACGGCTCGCCGCTGCGCCAAGACGATCGAACATTATATTCATAAATAGCGGACCAACGTGCTCCATTGTACTTTCTCATGTGGTTAGCGAAGCTGAGATCGTTCCCCGGAAGGACACGGTCCGTGGTTCTGTTATACTTAACTGGAGATTTTAACAGGTGGAGCATTTTCATGAAATGTCTTCATATCATGATGGCTTCGAAGAATTTCAAATTGTTAAGCAGTTGTTGCTTGAACCATCAAACATCAATATTCAACTTTAGAATAATGATTAACAGGCAATCAGTTAACTTCATTAAATTTCAGCTTTCTTCATTCTGTTCTCTAAAAGATATCCATGTCAGAAATAAGTGTCATCAATAATTCACAGAAATATAAATATGCATAAACCATAATATTTACATTTAATAACTTGAGATAAAAAGCTTGCGAAATATTTTACTTACTCCTGCAAGAGTTTGAAAATGCTTGCTCGGATGCCATCCACGTAATTCCACTCGAGAAAGTATTTCCGTTCGACAGCTGTGCAGATATCCATAACAAGCACTTCCTCAAATCGGTGATCTTTCACTAACAAAAAACGATCATCGATGATTTTCCACCAGCCACTATGCACCACTGACGTAGCACGTTATTAACAGCAACACTTTGCATTCGCGTCGAGGTAGAAATGCTCCACTTTTGCCGGACCGTTCGTTTCTAGTTTCGACTATAGCCGATTTTTTTCCTAGAACGGTATCAATGATCGGAAAGACACGTTGCTCTACGACCACCGTGCTCGGAGCGTAATTGAACGTTTATCGGAAATCGTTGCCAGTCGATTCGAGTCTGAGAGTCAACCTCGAGATTTCGCTCACTGCGAATCTTATCGGAGTCAGATAATATTATCATAATATTGTGTTTACGTCGAGGTTTGTTCGTCAGATCGCGAACGATAAACGAGATCCTCGGCTCGCGAACGAAAAGGCTGTCCCCGTTTCGGGCCACTAGTTTCGCGAGAGGTAATCTTAAAGTCAATGTGACTAGATTAGTAGATCACGAATCGGTTTTTGCACCGGAACTCTGCACGTATTCGATCGCCGACATTCTTCACGATTCTTCCAGCCGGCCGAGATCGTTTCGTTGGTCTTAATTAATCACGAATACGGTCGGGTAATTAAAACGCACCAAATGCAACGGCACCCAACGATCATCCAAGAGTACTTTCACTCGAAAGTTCTGTTTTTATTTTTTTTTTTATTTTATTTCTTTTTGGTTCACTGGGCCAGATCGATTTTCGACTCTCTTTAATTGATCACGAATCGATTGGATTCATTGCCGACAGCCTCGCAAACGTGAGCTCCAAACGCAAGAATATAAACGTCGTTTGTTCTCTTCTTTTCTTTTTTTTTCTCTCAAGAGTCACGAGTTACTTCTTTTATCTTAATCGGTCGTAAGTGCACGTATCGCTTTATCAGTTCACGGGCGAACGACACCTTGAACGTTTTCATTTGCACGACGAATTTCAATCTTGCGTCGCGCGATGAGAACATTAATCTCCTCTCGACTCGTTATAAGCGGAATTGTATTCGGTAACAGTAGCGAGTCGGAGATGCTAATGCGAACCACTTAAACCAGTTCCGTCAAGGAAATCATTTCGACTCTGTTTCGTCCCACGGGAACGATTAATTGATTAATTACTCACGCACGAACGAGTCGAATGGAATCTCCCGCTAATCAGCACGAAACGTCTGCTTTCTCTCTTGCAGCCGTTCGAGCTTTCCTTCCTTTTCCACGGGAAAGCTTTCAATTTCTAGTACCCGGTTAACCGTCCTCCTTCGCATCACTTAACTCCTCGATTCCGTCCTCTGTCTGAAGATCTTTGATTCCAGTCGCTCCAAAACTTCCAACACCCAACGTCCATTAGAAGTTTCGTTCGCAGAGTATCGTGACACAGCACCAGAAAGACACTTCACGGTAGCTCCGATCCAAAATCCATCAATTGACCCGGACGAGACGATAGGTCCTTCCTGCCCTCCGATAAGACTCCAATAAGAAAATTCACGAGATATCCAGGGTGTGCAGCAGCAGATTTGATCGGCGGAGCAGGCGCGACAACGTAGACACAGCCTCGACGAGGAGGACGACGAAGAGCAAGTGCGCTGCAGACGTTGGGACCGCTCGCTCGGCGACGCTCAACCGTTCTGGTGTAATCGAGGCGAGATATACACACGGCCGATGCGGTTTCACGACAGAGAGAAAGAGAGGAAGAGAGACAGAGAGAAAGAATGAGAAGGGGGTTACATCAGATCACCGAGACACGCTGCACGTTTCAGAGCCGAGACGACAGACCGATGGAGAACGGATCACTGGTGTTGGTCGGTTAGACCTCGTGGACGACGAAGACGACGACGACGAGGACGAGGAGTTGCAGACCGACAAATGGGCGTCCGGATCCAGCTGGGCACCATGAAGCTGGCCCGATTCGACACGACAGACCATGGCGTATGTGCACGAGCCGAGCCGGAGCCGACGGCACGAACCGGTGCGAAGGAAACCTTCGACGTCGCGAGAGAGTGTGCGAGAGAGACCTGAACGGGGCCCAATCTCACTAGAGGGGACCCCTATATCACCTTTCTCTTAACTCCGGGCCCGTTGCGCTGCTAGCGTACCTGCAACTAGCCAGAATTCTCTCTACCTCTTGGTGTCTTCAGCCTCTCCTCGTGTTGCTTTCATCCAGAGTCACTGAATCTTCGAAGTGCTTCAAAACTTACGGTGATCCATAGCTTCATGTCGCAAAAATTCATTCCAAAGGACTCGTTGCTTAGATATTTCTGAATGTTGTGAGGTACAATTCATTGGACTACACTTTTGTTGGGTCTGAAGAGGACTGTGTATAGTGGTCGCTCAGATTTCGAGTGTAATTCGAATAATTCGTGTGTAACTTGTGAGTTGATTCGCTCGATGCACGATATCAAAGTGAGTTTTCATGGTGTCCAGAACGAGAGAGGATGAAATAGCAGCGCGAAGTCGTTGGCACAAAAGGAGTCGACTATATCGCGTTTCCGATAACTCTGATAGCTGCGTGCACGAATAAGCTACACGAAACGGAGTAAACCTTCTTTCGTTTCAAAAACAACGTTCCTGACGAATGTTCCTCAGTTATGTTTCGGGAGGAAAGAAATCTGATGCTTCTTTGAGCGAGGCTCGTTTCGGAGCCATTAATTCTCCGGTCCTGGCCGAAATCAATGCGATCGAATACGTTTCATTTGAAATCAGCTACGTGTTATATTATAGCTTTTTTCCCGACGTGCATTCGATGCGAAACACGAAGTTGTTCCGACAACTTTTTGCGATTTGACTCCTTTCCCGCAACGTGTGCTGCGTTAAACCGCTTGAAAAGCGAACTGCCAATGCATAAATTTAATTACTGTTCAGTGATTTATTCAGCCCATTCTCTCGTTTATAACCGGCGACGTGAGCAACATTTTATGTTAAATGTATTCTCTTTTTACCAGCAAGAACTTTACGATTAATATTAAATAAACGTTCGTGAGCGAACTTAGAGCGTGATTCGTGAAAATAATTACAGTCACGCGATTGATTCCTTTTCATTGATTAAACTTTCAAACAAAAACGTGGAATCCCATGAATGATATTTATCTTGCTTTGATAGTACTCGGTAATATTTTAGATAAATATTGCGGAGTAATTTGTAATAGTTCGTGCAAAAGCTCATTTTCCATTTGCAGATAGTCCACGGTTAGGCAATTTGGAATAGCACTAAAATTTGCCTTTTTCTTAAGTTTAACTTTGAGATATTTTTCAATTGTTCATTTATCTTCCTGTTCATGATTTTTCCGCTTGCTTAAATCATTCTAAGTCTTCAGATTTCAAATTGTAAATCATGGTTCGTTTAAAGTACAGTTTGTCTTGCGGCTCCTTCCGGTTATAACGGAACAATGCATTAACTTATTAGCCTAAATGATTCGTTCGTTAGGCATAAACATTAGGCAAAGTCACGTGCCGACTGTTCATTGAAAATCTATTGGTGTTGCCTTTACTGACCACGTAACAGCGACGCAACGAGATTTACCATTCACGAGGTCTAGATATGCCTTTAAGAATGGAAACAGTGGCGACGGTGTGTGCGGTGCTTTCGACCAACACCTAAATCGAGCGCCAGTTTAAGGGTAATTCACACCTACGCAAATTCTAATAACATAATTTATGGGAGAAACACGATTCTATTCTGCTAGAGTTTCATTAGTAACCAGAGAATTATTAGAAGACTTCATTTTGCATCCCTTAGTCAAAAAATTTACTCAAATGGATGAAAAATCAATAATTGAAGAAATGAACAGCTTTTTAGTCCAATAAAAAGAAAATTAGTACAGGATCTATTCTGTTTTGTTAAAAGGAACTATCTAGGTGTGGATAGATCTTTATGGTTGCCCTCTAAAACTGCGAAGAAACCAACATGGTGGCGGGCTATGTTAGAAAACGATAGAGAAAGAGTAAGACGGAGAATTTTGATGGTTCGAGGTATTAAGAGAGGCTCCACGCATTCATGCTCGCATATTTATAGCTTTTGGACTAGCCAGCGTCGCTAGACTACGAAACGCAGCTGGTTGAGGCTTTGAACAACGTTCTGCTACTATAGACCTTCTAATAGTAACCTGTACTGCAACGTAGCACTCCTCCTTCCTTCGAGAGGATGCAATATCCACGATACCCTTGATATTAGATATGCCTACAATAACGAGCAGTTCCACGTACTTGTAGATCAAATGCCAACTATGGTATAAATTCTTCTGGTCACGTTGCCTCTGATTCAAGATACTAAGCCAATATTGTTCTTTGGAATTGAAAATAATTTCTTTCAAATTTATTTAGAAAATATTAAAACTGCATCGAATAATCAATTTGATATGGAATATTAGGTAATAAGCAACAATTTCAAAAGAAGATCCTTTCTAACTTCTACAATACAAAGTTAATTGTCATACGAGTTTCTTCGAAGAACCTGTGTTTGTATGAATTGCGCGTGTTATAGTGATGATTCAGTATCATCTCATCATCTATAGAAGAATATCCTGTCCATTACATAGTACAGTATTGTGTTCAATGACTATAGGAATTCGAAATCATCGCGTGAATCCTACAGTGTCCCATTCAATTCCAATCCTTTCAACATTTCATTATGAATGTCGAACCGAAGTGTCTATTAAACACGTATAAATATTATTGTATATTTTCATTGCGTAAGATTAGAAAGTGAATTCATCATGATTAGCTTACAAGTTCATCAAGTTTATTGTCAATGTATAATTATACGTGTTCAATTAAACATAGAATTGCTATCCTTATATTTATCCAACATTACACGACTCGACCAGTTCTCTTTCGCAACTGCATTATCAGTCACTGATTTTACCTGGCTCCAGGCGGTTTATTTTCATTTGCGGTACCAAAATGGCTGCCCGCCGCGGAAACCGCAAGCGGGTAATTTAAAACCGTTGAACTACATTTTCTACGGGTTAATCAGTGACAATGATCAGATCTCCGTAACACGGCTATGCTAACTTTTATCCTTGCTTTGCCAAGATACGCTTCATTAAACGATCGTATTCTTCTCTAATCTTCTATGGGAGATTGCGAAACATGCAAGGTGTTGCTAATAATAATTTCGTACCGATGCAACGTACAAATAACGGGCTGTCAGTTTCTTGAACCTATAATTTCCCTATTCAGTCATGGGTCTTTAAACAGAAATCTAGGGTTACAGAATTACGTGAGATTAAAGAAGAATAATAAGTAACCTTGACGATCCCTATTTTTATCACATACTAAGCTTGATAATATATATTACTATAAATTACAGTACTGAACATATGATTTGCTATTAATAGTTCGATCCAGGGTCTATAAATAAATCATGACCTTCATTTTCATTCAAAGTTGATGATGTACATTAACATCAATTTATGAGCATTTAGTTTAGTTATTGAGAGAGATCAATGCTGGATTTACAAGTAACTTTTGAAACAATATTCCATCTACTACAAAATATATGTAGATTGCTGTAATGTGAGCAACTAAATACTCTGATATTCATTGAAGCCTTAGTATCTGAAACTTTTTAAATAAATTTTTGTTTCGAAAACTTAAGGTGTCCACAAAAAGGGAATCCCGGAAGGAAGAATATAAACAGTAGACAAGGATCAAGATGACCGTGTTTGATAATTAAAATGTCTGACAGAATGGCTCATTGTAATGTGGAGGGGATTTGAATGCCGACACGGCGCCATTAATGGTACTCCAACCGCAACGTCCATAGCAAATGAGATTTCTGGACAAGTTTCTTCATCCTCCAAAATCATGATACATATTTTACACTACTCATTTTATCACTTCTGATATAGTGGATCTTAAAACACGTTGATTAAAGTATTAAATTGTAGAAATACGAAGAAAATAATGTGTTTCTGCTGGATTTCTCCGGTTGGTACGCCGACTTATGCGGCTCGAAAGTTGGTAGACTTGGTGCGCGTCGACGCCCAAGCGTTTACTATACTTCCAACAAGTGGGTGGAATTTAATAGTAGGATCATCTGCATTCTTTTGTGGCTAATGAGGGCGGTAAAAGTTGTTGCACGTGAATTTTTGGTTTAGCATAAAAATGGCTATCTTTGAATCCTGCTGGTCCCCATTTATTTGGACCAATAGTGTGAGAACAGGATGCAAAGCTATTGCTTTCTACACAATTGTATGTAGCTCCAATTCAATACAGTTGTTCTCTTCTTATTGCACTCTAGTGCACTAATTAATAAACAATAGTTCTTCTTATTTCTCATATACGCATTCATTATTTCAGGCAATCAGTATAATATCCATTACACTAATCAGTTACCAGTTACATGGAGGTGATTCTTCGCAGCTGTACAATCCTATGTTTGAAGCTGATCTTAGAGGATGTAAGTTGTCAAGTTATATGATAGTAACAGTACATATTAACATACATATGATGTTTCAGCTATGCAAATTGTTGGAGGCTTCTTTATATTATACTTTATTCTCCTAATTGCATCAGGACTTTTGATGGTATATGGAATTAGAGAGGGAATAAGAGGATGGTTACTTCCTTGGCTTATATTATGGTTTATTGCCTGTCTGTTCCAATTAGTTTTTGGACTTTGGCTTGTTGGAGGCTATTATATCTATGTATGTTTTTACATGTTAGTAAAATACTATTTGTAGAAAGTACATCAACTAATATCTTCATTTATATCTTCAGCTTGATGCAACATTTGCAGCCATGTGTATCTGGCTTTGGATGTCATATAATGTAAGTATGCTATATTTGCTTATGAATCATGTGTCTGTATCCTTGTTTTATTTTATATAATTTCAGGTATACTGCTGGCTAGTTGTTCTATCAATGTACAAAATATTTGAGGAACTACAATCTCCAAACATAGAGCTTCTATGGCCTTAGATACCTTAGATGTTAATAAGATACAGAGTACATTCACTGACACCAAAGTAAGATACAGTGTCTTTAAAGAGGAATATATATATTTTTTTTATAATTGATCGAAAGTTAGTCATATAAACAGCATTATTTAAAATAATTTAAGTCAACAAAAATTACATTTTTTTAAATGTATTTAAGTTACTTATCATTATTTACTCTAATATACTCAATGTTATGAGTATTGTATAAGTACCATACTTAAGTGTCATTAATGTACAAGTAGCCTGCTGCCTTGAAAGCTTAAGACTTTCACATAACAAAAAAAGACTGATAATGGTCTAAGAAAATGTCCGTCCAGATTTCAATTATCTCGATACTTTTACTGACAAGCTTATGCAATAGAATTTTATAATTGGTTGCTTTACACAACCGAAAGAAGAAAGTAAATAGTGTTTGTAATAAATGTTTGTAAAAAATATAAATGTCATTATCTTTATTTAATTACACACCCTTTCCTCTTGAAATTTACGATCACAACTAGCATGCAGCACCTATCTGATTTGCAATCTCTTTGAAAACAGTACTACCTGCGCCACCTAATGGCACGTTGGAAAATGACCGAAAGAGAAACTTACTTTCCCGAAAAATAAACGATTTATAGTTTTAAAAGTACATACAAAACATCCTACAATCATAATGCAAGTTAAATAATTGTATTACGGCTTATTAGAAGCATTAAAATTCGAAAATCGAGGAAAAATTACCATTTTGCAGCCACTGAAATGTCGAAATACTGCTAACACCTGGCGGTAGATCCCTGAAACTAATGGCGGTAAATCTCGTTAATCTTTTTTGCAGTACATATCTGTCATTTGTGACTTGTTATAACAAAGTAAACGCTTTATATTAATCATATAATTTAAATATAAGTATCGATATATGCTTACTGTTGCTGACTTTGAGAGATTGTAATCAGGAACCACTTTTAAAACACAATAACATACTAGATCTAGAGATCTAGAATACTCATCGCTGGTAACAATTACATTGTTTGGTTTATATTATATTTAGGACATAAAACGATCTTTATTATTATGATGTCAAGCACAATATGAGAATATTTGACAAGTTTAACAAATTTAAAAAATCAAATATTGTAAGGACGATGTAGCCATCAGAGAGGAAGAGAAGTATTGACGCCTGGGATTTTACTCGTCGCGATGTGCTGGTGCTGCACTACGTAGCCAACTTTTAAGATAGCAAGACAGCAAAACCCTGCAAACATCGAAAATAGATAAAGAGAAAAAACAATTCCCGCAGCCAATTCGCTCGCATTATTTGCTGCATAATTAATAAATGTACCATAGTATTAATGATACAGATATTAATTACCCATCAAATAATAACGATTGCCCAGGTCTCACCACGAGGAGGTTGCTGCGGGTGGAGACCCGCCCTACCTCATCCCATCCACCCTCCATTTATGCAAATTTGTATTTTTATTCAATAACATCATCCTCTTGATGCACATTTGCAAAACGTTTTTGACGATTGTGCAAACGAACAACAAAAGGTGCATTATTTTTATTCACTACCTACCTATCTACTTATCTATACATATATTTACGTAGATTTTTACTTTTTATTCCTATCTAAATATTTTTTATATTTGATTTTGATTACAGATCTGTAATTAATAAATATGCAATTGCATATTTGTCCTACATACTTATATTACTAAGAATACCTCGCAATACGAGCGCTCGTAATTATATTAAAAATTCGCTTAAATCTAACGCTTCCTAATTAAACACTGCAGTGTTTGACGATTATACTTAATGACTATATACATAAATAAGTCCAATGAATATGTTGATTTTGTTGTCCTCACCAGAATACTTCCTAAAATAAAACTGAAAAGGATTAGATACAATTTTCATAAATAATAAGACTCGTATTACCTTAATACTAGAATTCTTTTTGAAACAGACTAAAAAGGATTAGATACAATTTTCAAAAATAATAAGACTCGTATTACCTTAATACCAGAATAATTCTTGAAACAAACTAAAAAGCATTAATTACCAAAATACGTCCTGAGATATTTCTCTGCAACAGAAACTTATTAATTGAATCCATATCAAGACAAAAAGTTTAATAGCTAGAAAAAAGATGCATTAGTACACACAAAATTTCACAAAAATCAGAGTCGTTGTTAATGACTCATTTCCAATGAAAAGAAGGAACATCAATTCAATTTCAGTACCAAAATAAAGAAAAAAAAAAAGATTTAGAAAAATATATCGTCACTGAATAAGAGATTTGATTTAAAAGGATTAATTATTTTTCATTTTATAGTATCTAATATTCGTTCATTTGTTAACAAACAATACACGATATTTTAATTGAAACAACTATCTTTTACTGCAATATACGTACATACAACCATGACTCTACTTGACTTTATTGCATTATATTATTCAATACACCTTTCAATGCAAATTTATTGTAAATGAAAAAACTGAAAAGAAAATCGCGAGTGGACTTTGCTTTTCAGGAGAAGAATTTGAAAATTTATAAAAGTAATTTAATTAGCTTCTCCGCAAGCTTGAAACGAAACATCGCGAACAAAAATGAAAACTGAACAACTCGAACAACAATTATCCACTACTTCTGTTTAAATTAAGTAAAATAAAAATTTAATAAGCTATCTTGAATGAACAAATATTCCTTGAAATAAATTATCACCAATCATCAAAAAATAAAATGAATTTCCATTTTAAATAAAACTTTGAATAAAGTTCTTTTTAAAACTTTATCGTATCTAATAATATCCTGAAAACACCAAATTCATATATTATTTAACAGTATTTTCAATAACCGAATGCTCAAAATTTTATGAAAAAAGAATGGGGGCATGGCAGTGGGAGGGAGGGTACAGGGGAACCTGAAAAGAAAAGTTTGACTGCCCATAAGAGCAATCCCTAAGCAAACCCTATAAAACAAACCGAAATTACACGCAACACTAATTTCAAAATTGCAAACATTTCTGAACTATGACAAAACATCGGCTGGCAACGAGGGGTCTCACGCCCCCTAGACTTACGCCAGACGCTACATACCACCCACCCCGCCTGGACGTCGTAACGCCAGGACAGAGTGCACCCCTTCGCTAAGAGCGCTACCCGCCCGTCCAACACGTTGCATCCAACGGTGTCAGATTGACGGACGCCCATAGTATAGACAAAAGGCCTACAGTTTAGAATATGGTAACGTATTTTCATATGTTCCGTATTCTAAAGCTGCGCCTGCAAAGGCCTAGTAATGCATGGGTATATCTCCCAGAGATGGTGTTCACGGTCTTAGGCCGCGGAATCCTTGACTAGCAATGGATTCCCACCGAATGTGAGTCATAGTTACTTCCACTAATTTAATAACAATCGCGAATTCAGTCACAACACTAATTTCATTAATTATATAATATGTACAAAAGCGTACGCGTGAAGGCTGCTCCATTATACGCAACACTAAGCTGAAAAAAAGAAAAAAAGAGAAAACGCGGACTGTAACGCAACACTAGTAAAATCTACCGAATTTTGTAAGACGCAACACTAATCTAAAAAAGGGGTACAGCCAATCCAAGGCTGTACCATGGCAGCTGGTCCATAGCTGCCTTATGGACCATGGCAACTCCACTGGATCGTTTTTGGGCATTTCTAATGCAAAACACGAATATTCATTACCGCAACACTAATTAGCAGGGAACTTTATTAACTAATGCAAAGCAATCGCGTATTTATAAGTCGCAACACTGGGAAACAATCGCGCTAATGTCTATCGCAACACTATCTTTAACAGACATGCAATTAAAATGCAGAAAAGGGGGATTCTCAAACCGTGAATTTTTTACTCGCAACACTAATTTTATTAATTATATAATATGTACAAAAGCGTACGCGTGAAGGCTGCTCCATTATACGCAACACTAAGCTGAAAAAAAGAAAAAAAGAGAAAACGCGAACTGTAACGCAACACTAGTAAAATCTACCGAATTTTGTAAGACGCAACACTAATCTAAAAAAGGGGTACAGCCAATCCAAGGCTGTATCATGGCAGCTGGTCCATAGCTGCCTTATGGACCATGGCAACTCCGCTGGATCGTTTTTGGGCATTTCATCATATATCGCAACTCTAATGCAAAACGCGAATATTCATTACCGCAACACTAATTAGCAGGGAACTCTATAAACTAATGCAAAGCAATCGCGTATTTATAAGTCGCAACACTGGGAAACAATCGCGCTAATATCATTCGCAACGCTATCTTTAACAGACATGCAATTAAAATGCAAAAAGGGGGGATTCTCAAACCGTGAATTTTTTACACGCAACACTAAAGCAATCAACATTAAAAAGCAAAACTCTCAAAAATCTTAAAGCAATCAACATTGAAAAGTTAAATTCCATTTTAAAGCAATGCAAGAAAGAAACGCGATATTTAAAATTCGCAACGCTAAATGAAAATCGCGATAATCATGCATACGCGACATTAAATTGAACCGTGATCGATATTCATTCGCAACACTAATTTGAACCGTGGTCAATATTCGCAACACTAAATTGAAAACGCGATTTGCCCAAAATCATGGGGGTCACGGGCCCCCTCTTGTCCTGAAATTACAAAACTACAACTACAGGCAAGCACAGTGACAAAGTAGTAACGATAATGATTTCCCATCCTTTTTTGCAAAAGGATGCAAAATCATTAGTAGTTCCCCTCTTGAAAGACAGTTTGTCGGGGCGCTTCGGCATATAGCCTTTTCTTTCTTCGGGCGGTCCACCCACCTGAAACTTATATCTAAAGCTCGAGACTTGCAAATTCGCAAAACAGAAAAAAAAACAATCAACAAAAAAGAAAAATCGCGAAACTCTAATTGACACGTGGACGAAAAAGGATTTTATATAAATCGTTGTTCGTGCACACGTGCCGTGCTCGAGCAGAACTTGTGCGTTTCGTACCATCGCGACCGCGTATGACGACTTATGAAGTCGCCAAAAATTTGAAAAATTGTACAGATAGCATCGAAGGCGAACGACATACTCCGTTCGTATCGATTGCATCGTCAATTCTTCAAATATATTCCAGGTACAGGTTGATCACGCGAAATCGCGCCTACCCGACCAAGAGACTGTGACAACCTGTCCCGGCTCTACCTACTTACAATCTATCACACACACCAGAAGGTATACTACCTACCTACCTAACCCTATATTTAAAAAAGGCAAAATCACATTCTCACAAAAATTCATTCCACGACCCCCATACACTCCACCCGGGCGCAGAGCCTAAACTAGGGAGAACGTCCCGGGACGCCTCCGTCACCCGAGTTTCATCTCACATCACACTCTACGGTACGTACCATTTTTCACTGAAATCGTCTGGCAAGGCTAGCAATCATTGCGTATAA